TAGGCCTTTACGTTTTCATTCAGATTTTATGATATGTTATTTGTTAAAGACATCATAAGCACTAGTTGCTTCTTCGTTCGAGGAGAAAAGTAGCCGACTTCTTTGAGCAAAATAACCGACTCGTTTCGTCGGCCGTCGGTGCTTATTGAAACCCCAGAGTCACAGTTATAACAAAGCACGATAAAGGATCCTTCATCTATTAGCTGAAAATTCCATAAATGATGCCACTAAATTTCGATTGGTTGATCCTGAACGACCAACAAGTAGAGGAAGACCACCCAAGCACTATCATCCTCTTCCCCGGAACGAAAAAGAGTTAGAGTCAATCGATCGTTCGCCGAATTCTACCCACTTCAGTTGCAGATTCTGTCCGTTCTTCAGGCACTAGACTAGCTCATCTCTATGGCCTACTCCTGGGGGTCTACCCAAGACCCATGAGAAAGTGTTAGCTATGAGACCTATATTATCAGCCACACAGACTTACAACTACGCCTTGGCAAAATGGCTTGATGTAAAATTCAAACCACTTTCCACTTATCAGTGCTCTAAAACTGACACTTTCGACTTTGTGAATGAAATCCAGCAGCTGTCAAACAACGACGGTGATATCCTAGTTTCCTACGACTTTTCTTCCCTGTTTACCAATGTGCCTTTGGAGGAAACCATACAGCAACTCACTGAAAAGGCCTTCACGAACAACTGGTTCAATGAAACGTACCAACTTCATCTCAGTAGACAGGACCTTGTCGACCTTCTCAGAGCAGCAACTATTAAAAGATCAACTTTTCATTTTGAATGGTCAGATGAACAAACAGACGGTGTCGCTATGGGATCTACTTGGTCCTTTACTTGCTTATGCGGCTGTGTGTAGCATTGAAGAAAGATTGGAACAGGAAGGCAAGATGCCCACATACTACAGGCAATTTGTTGATGACACACTGACCGTTATGCCAAACAAAAAATCTGCGGAGAATCTTCTTGAAACTCTCAGCCAGTGTCACTCCTCCGTTATGTTCACCATGGAGATTGAAAGTAATGGTATGGTGCCCTTCCTGGGCACCCAGCTCCTTAACAGATCTTCACATGTGGAGACCAAAGTCTGTGTCAAGCTCACGAACACTGGCCTCTTGTTGCATTACAAGAGTCACGTAGACGTTCGATATAAACGAGCGTTGCTAAGACCTATGTTTGATCGTGCTTTCCGACTTTCGTCCAACTGGTCGTATTTCTCAGAAGAATGCGATCGTCTTAAATCACTTTTTTCCGGCTAAAGTACCCTGACAAGCTAATTAACCCTACTATCTCACGCTTTTATTTTATTGCCACAAAAGTTTCTGAGCAACCTGTTTCATCGCCCGCGGCTGTTTCTGATTCATCTGACCCTGTTCGTGTTATTTTACCATTTAAAGACCAGTCCTCAGCTGACATTGTTCGACGTCAACTTCAGGATTTGAGTCGCAAAATTCACACGACGGTGTCTCCAGTGTTTGTCAGCCAAAAGATTGAGCGTGATCTTAAAATGCGAGAAGCTAAGCCACCTCTTGTCAACCAGCAATGTCTTGTTTACAAATTTGAATGTGACCTGTGCGATGCAGGTTATGTTGGTTACACATCTCGCCACTCACACCAGCGAATTGAGGACCTCAAAAGCGCAAGTTCAGCCATCGGCTAAATCAAATCAAATCCTTTATTTAGACACGTAACACCTAAAAGCACCAAAGTTTTCGTTAAAACGTGTATATGCGTGCAAATTAAAAAAAATGTAAAAGTATACTAGTAACCTATACATTACTACTATTAAAATACTAACTACTCGAAAAAGAAAGTGAAATGCAAGCAACAGTCACCCCAACCCTGTACTGCTACTGATTTCTTTGCAAACTGTTTTTTCATTGTGGGCATGCTATGTTTACTGTTCTGTCAAAACATTTTGCAATACATGTAGTTGATCACGTGATCATTTTTCTGTAAGCACGAAAACAGTTCGCTTTTGGACATTTTTGTTGGCAGGAACAGAAAAGGCATAATAAAATAGGGTAACCTGTAAATTTTCAGCCGTATATTCTCCACCTCGCACGTTGAATTAGCGTACGAAATAACAGCGAGGTAAAAGGAAAAAACGTCTCTTTGATCAGCTAAATCCCTGCGCATTTTGCCTTCTTGAATGTACGCTCCAAAAAAATTCAACTGGCGTGAAAACTTTGGGAGCCGATATCACTAGTGTGACCTTCCCAGAATTTTTACCTAGGTAAAACAAAACCCGAGTTGAATTTACCTCGGGAGATTTTTGATGAATTTGCCCTAGGTAAATCGGTTTTACCTAGGTAAAAGTCTGTAGTGTGACCACAGCTATTACCTTGCACTTTTCTGGGTGTGGTGCCAATATATAGATTCTTGTTGCACGATGCGAATTCAGGAAAAAAAAAAATGAAACTATGGTTAGAGCCTTAGCTTTTCGAGGAAAATCATTACTGCGACAGACAAACACAGCACCCCATGTCTTCTTTGGGATGCAAGGAATTAAGATCAACTTGGAGGCAATCATAACATGGCTGAAAAAAAAAAGAGTTACCAAACTGAAGAACAGTCTCACACAAAGGCGTAAACTTTAATACAAGAAAAGGAAGTCAAGAAAAGTAAGTAGTTCACGACACTCACTGACTAAAGCGAAAGTGTATCAACATGGCGAGTTCCCTGGTACCAGGGTACCATGCATACTTCCTTTGCTGCGCGTGAATCTGCTGTTCAGAGATTACGATGTTAAAGCCTTTTCGAAGCCTTTGTATGAAAAATGACACCAAAATGACAACTAAGGCTACATTCACACGGTACCGACAGTATTTTCGACGTGTAGAAAAGTTTGACCAGATATTGTGTTCAAGCAAGAGAGGATAAAGGGGACAGAGAAGGCATCCCCCATACACACCCTATTCCATAGGTAATTCGTCTCGAGTTATTTTTAGAATCGCGATAAAGTTACCTCGCGCACTGCGTGGATGTTTCTTGGAGGTTTCGTATGACTAAACGCCGTGCAAAACATGTCCGGCGAAAGGCAATGAAAGTGTAAAGAGATCGAGGGCATTTCTCAATATTGAAGCGAAATGAGTCGGCGCTAACCTGGGAAAAGGGAATCGCTGGACTCTTTGACAACCCGTGAAATCAGTTTAACTCGAAGTTCTCGTAACCTCAGTGCTTTAATAAAATGAGAAATTTCGCCGGTCTATTGAAACCGGTCGTTTGTATAATAAAGCAAGTAGGACGCCAAGTGTTATTTTTGTTGAATAATAAAAGACTAATAAAAGAATAAATATCAAACCAGAAATTGCTCTCTTCAAACTGTAAATTATAAATGATCCTGAGAGAATATTCAGTGTGTTAAGGATTTCCCTGCTGTACTGTTAGCTCTATACAAGAGAGGAAGGGCGATTCTTTTTTAATTTCCGTCTCGCTGACACAGCTTTAGCAGAAATCTGTCTTTAGTCGTTTTCGTCGACAAAACAAATAGCAATATCGCTCTCCGCGTCTTCCGCCATTTTTTTCTGCGTCAATTCGTGAAGGACTCGTGGCTCTGAGCGTGGGTCATCCACGCGGAACACATTCGCGCTATGTGATTGGCTGTTGTCTAATCCCCCTTGGGATCTATGGTCTTAAAAATAACTCGACACGAATTACCTATGGAATAGGGTGTGTATGGGGGATGCCTTCTCTGTCCCCTTTATCCTCTCTTTGTTCATTTTTCTGTTCATATAAAGGAATGCACGTGCAGGTTGAATTTTAACTTATGTCAGGGGTTTTGCCTGATCTTCCCATGCAAGAACGCTACTTTTCCCCTTCTGGCTAAGTTACCACGCCTTTGGGTCATAAAATCATAGACCACCAAGGTGTTCATACGGCGTCGAGCAAATTTCAACTGTGAGGCTAAAAATTCGTCCTCAATTTTGGAGGTTGAATATTAAATCAGCTAGGTAAATTTCCGTACGGTTAGCGTGGTTCCGTGTGAAAGGAACACCTAGACAGATGTATTTTTAACCTGCAGTCAAAATTTTTTCCGATACCACGTCAATGTAACCTAGGAACATAGTGCCAGAACATCCTTTGAGCTTTGTTATAGGTTTACTGGGCTGAGCCTCAGACGTTAGTGTTACGCCCGATGTTAAGATGGTCCCAGTTTAACCAAAACGTGCTTAAATTTTGCTCCAGACCTATGAAATTTCGACGTACCAAACTAAAACTACTTGTTGCGTTAGACTTAAGACCTATGTTCTGTGTTCCAAACTAAACCTTTTACCTCAGACGATTAAAGAGGTGGTTCTAAGTAAAAACCTCACTAAACTCATTTTTTGACCTAGGCTTATAACCTAAGTATGTTCTTGTTGTCCCAAACTTTACCTATCTCTTGCCCCAGAACTATGTATGACCTACCGGTATGTTCAATTCTGTGTTACAACTTAAAACCTACTTTTAACCTATATTCTGGTTTCATAGTAAACCTACTTTTTGCTCTTGTTTTACGACCTATATCTGGGCTCTTCCAAATCAGGCTAAACCTACTTCTTGACCTAAGAAACGTATATTCTCTGTTCCAAGCTGAACCAGAACCCACTTTTTTCCCTAAGCTTATGAACTAGGCTCTATTTACCACGATTTTTTCTCTCTAAAAAACTAGACAAACTAGACATAGGTGATCAAACACCCCAGACCTATATCACCTAACATATGTACCTAACCAATCCTATTTTTTCTTTGTCTTACGTTTTGAACCATTTTCTGAATTTTTTGCAATACGTCTAGAACCTAGTTTTTGCTATAGACTAATATATTTGTTTTACTAACCTAACCCTAATTATATGTCATGATATATGTTCTGCGTACAGTTATGAAACTACTTTGCTCATTATGCCTTATGTAGGCGCCACACTTCAAGCTGCAGTGACTTCTTAACATAAATGTTCCTGTATAGACAGTTCAATAAATGCATTGCCCACTGTTTACTTTGGTCGATCTTTCCATCTCGTGCGTGGATACCTTAAAGAAAAAACAGAGGATGTATCACTATGACGATAAAGTGCGCATGTTGTAATCCTTTTTTATTCTATCTTCTAGGAAAAATCCGTCGCCAAAAAAAAGGTACGTTACAATGAAGTTTCTTGTTTTGTTTTATCTTTCTGTGTAAAGTTTTTTGGAAAGGCGTTACAGTATAAGGGAGTTTGTTATGCTTATTCTAATCGTCTTTTGCATAACTATTATATTGATAATATTAACGATTATGATGACTCACAATTTGATTATAATAACGCACGATTTGGCAGACTAGGCTATAAAAAAAATCCTTGAGGTCATGAGAGTTCTTTTGAAAAATACTTGTTTTCTCGATTTTTAAGGGGTCAATGTACGACTTACACTACTTCATTCCGCTGGAAAATATTAATCTCTCACCCCTTTTGTAATTATTGTAAATCAAACAATAGTTACCATGGAAGCGCAGAGCTCATTTAATTGTTCTGGTTAAACGTTTACGTAAATCACTTACATGGCTTATGCAGAGTTTAATTCTGAAAAGATAGCTTCAACGGCAGACGCGCAGTCGGTAAGCGTACTTCTCTTTGTTTCATCCTCTTTCCAGCACTCTTTAATAATCTTTGACCACTTCAGTGCTATTTGGGGATCCGGCAGTAGTTCAAGCTGAGGACGATGACCTTTCTCCACAACATCAAGAAACTCTTTCAAGCTGTGACCCTTCAAATCGTCAAACGCCTCTTTACCGTACCACATCTCCCATAGCATAACTCCAAGACTATAAATCTCCGAACTGGTGTCGTAGGTCATGCGGCGAAGAGCCTCAGGTGCGAGGTGAAGGAACATGTCGCATTTCGATTCATACTCAACTTCAAGTCGTTTAGTCAGTAAAATGTTGCTTAACTTGATATTCGGGAGGCTGGAACTGTCAATCTAGTAAAGAAATATATATCTTTAACTAGAAATACGCAAGTCGCAGGACCTCGCGTAGCACTTCGGGGGAACTACAAGCAGTAGGAAGAAAGGGAAATATTAAGGGCAATAGGGAAGAAAATTTATACATATATAGCACTTACGCTCAGAAACGAAACAAAACTACAATAACTAAAAAAAAACTAAACAAAAAGAAAAAAAAAAGAAAAGAAAAGAAGAGAAAAAGGAAAACAGATTCCCTGCGGAATCGAGCTCGGGAGCTTCTACGTGCTGGACCGTTTCATTGCCACTACACCACATGCCATGTGACTTCACACACTAGACACCAAGCGATATATAGATTCATAAATAAATAGAGGATATTACATGGCCGCGCGGAGATTCGTTCTCACTAGTGAAATATTTTTCAACAGTCGAAGAGAAATTTCGTATCTCCAAGCGGCCATGTAATATTCTATTTATTACATAAACACCAATGAATGCAAAACCATTTCACTTAAATAGTTTTTTGTTGCGAAAGGCGCGATTTATTATGTAGCCATAACAGCAGCGATCTTTTCACATGTCAAAATAACATGTTATTTTCACGTGTCAAGATATGTTTTCGCGAAACCTCACCTATTTCATTGGTGCTTTTATAATAAATAGAAATATGGGGCGTCTTAGTTTGCAGCTGCGCGACGAGATTATAAACTCTCTTCGCGAGGAATCAAACTGCAGCCTAATGCCTCAACGGATAACCGTAACCCGACAACAATAAAGATAATGATGATGATGATGATGATCATAACAACAACAACATTAACAACAACAACAATAATAATTCAAAAACAAATTTATATTTAATAGGCATTTTGTCCAATTGACTTCGTGAATTTAATCACGTGTAAGGGCCTTTATACCCGACAAAACTGCAAACTGACTGGAAAAGTCAGGGGAGGGCTTTGAATTCAGCCACAGAGGAATACGGGGTTGAATGACTGAAACAAAGGAATACCGATTAGAATGAACATTTACATAAATAACACTAGTAATAATAAGGGGGGGTGCGTTCGATGGGGAGGGGGTGGGGCGTGCTGGGTAGTGAGTGGTAGTGGGAAGAGGGTGCAAAACCTGATGGGCTTGTAATATTGAGAAATCAAAATCAAACACTTTTAACAATATGAATATCAGCAGCTGTCTTTATCAGTGTCATTGTTTGTCCTCCCACTTTACAATTCGTTACTATTTCATTTTTCCTCAAAAATGCAAGGGCGTACTGTACTTTTTACATTTCCTTGGCTAAACCTCTAAGTCAAGTACATGTAAGTAACAACAGGTCAAACTCTGACTATGATCCTCAGGATATTATTTTGCACTATAGGATGATCAATAAAATTGGCTAAAAATTGGGATACAGAAAATTAAAGTTATCTGAAAGGTTGAAGCGTCGCGTATCACTTTAAACCCTTGTTGTGTGACACTAGGCTAACACGACTCACCTACTTAGCACTGTTTTCAAAATACCACGCACCCGGAATTAGTGAGATGAAAAGGTCAATGTTTCACTGTTCAACTTCTTGTATATTTTTCAAAAATGGTGAGAAACAAAAGCAAATACAACGCAATAAATAGCTTTTAAAAGCGAATAGATGTGATTTGTAATAGGATCAAATATGGTCGATTTAAGCTGATCTTCCTTAAATCCATAAACAAATACAGTGTGCAAAACAAATTGTTCGGCATAATATCTACATATTCCATTATCTTAGAATAGAAATTTTCCTATGATGAAATACTTAAACAAACCAGTGGTAAACAGAAAATCGCCAACGTTTCATCTGTGAACGAGTGTCACAAAATAGATACCTACACCCGGGCGAGAAAACCTCAACACATGAGATCGAGGCAAAGTGTGCCAGGCAGGGCTAAGATAGCGTCCAAACCGTGAAATCGCATGGCATACAGAACGGTTACTACTTCGTCTGCGGTACACAAATAGTAAGCGTTCTCCTTCGTCGAACAAAACCAGAAACTCGAAGGGGTTTGAAATGTGTAACTCGCGTCCAATGCTCGTGAATATTCTCTTTTACCATATTTGGAGACCTTAGTGAAGGATATTCATTTGAACAAAATGGCTGCCGCGCGATCACCATGCGGTGGTTTTAAGACGAGAGTTCTGCGTTTCAAGGTTAAAAATACGCCGTTTACAGGACAAAAAATGGAAAGAGAATGTTCAGAAGAATGCTCAGTTTTCTTTTTGTGGAGGAAGGGAAGCTTTTCACCAAGAAATCGTCCTTCGAAGAATTCACCCTTGTTTTCTTCATGGCGGAGCGCATGGTCTGTTTTGAAATGCAACTAAGGCAGCGAAGTTTTAGCTGAATTTTCAGGTACACTTTGCACTCTATGGGCCAAGAAAATTACGTTTTTGAAAGGAAAGATATGTATTTATAAATGTTTCATAGACGTCTTATATATTTTTTCTTCGGCGCTAAAGAAAAATTAGAAGAAATGCGCCCCGATTTGAGATGGATTTTGTGTTGAATTTTGCCATGTCTTCAGCCGATTTAACTTGCGTGAACGGATCCACGATCCAGATAGTGTTTAATGCGAGAATTTCTTTAAAGGATTAACTTTGTGGATTTTCAAGATTTTCTACTGTCTATTGCTTTGAGTTTGTTCATTCATAAAGTTAGCTCAAAACACGATCGTGATACTACAGCATTCAAGTTGAATTTAAGCTTAATGCTTCTCATATTTAATACACGCATCACTTTCAGTTTGCAAAGATGTCGGCGAATTTTATATAATTTTTACCTTCAGGTTCAGTTTTTGGACACTTTTCGATACGCCGCTAATGAATCTTATTCGAAAATACGTTTTACTTGTTATTCTAAACTGCGCAGAGGGTCACGAAGGTAACGTTTTTTGAAGTGACACTTCGAGAAGTAGCGCTTTCGTCAGTGGGTTTCATAATGTTGCGTTTGGCCCGGGTGGTAAGCCAATTTCTTGTTCAGTATTTCGATACGTTTCCTGGTTTCATCCTTTGAAAGCGTACTCGGCTTTCGGGAGTTTTTCCCCCGCTTGTCGGCCATTTTTTTTAAGCGGGCGCGGGAACGTAAAATTACGTCACGTCGTTTACGAAGTTTGATTGTACTTTCTATAATGAATAATTACGAGCACCGGACAAAGAAAACATACCGTAAAATTCCGAAAATGAGCCCCTCCATTTATAAGGGGGCTTGTACTTGGAAATTGCCCTCAAATACAAAGTAAAACAAAGCAAAAACGGTAAATTTCCTTCCATCTGTAAGGCTAGCCTAATCGATTTTGAAACGCAAATTTCCCTCCATAGATAAGCCGCTCAAAAAGGGCCTTAAAATAAGCCCCGGGGCTTATTTTCGGAATTTTACGAATCCACGTGGCTGTGGCAAACAAAGACAGCACACTTTATCATTGTTCCAAACTATCATTTTTATAGTGGGCGCGGAGAATTGCTTCATAAAATGCCCCCTTTTTTTTAGTGGAAGCCTATCCGATTCCGCCCGATTTTTTTTTTCTGAGCAAACATGTATGCCACCTTGGTTCCTTAACTTGTGAGATACCGGGTCCAGGCTGATAAAGCTGGTTTACAAACCTCTCGACAAGGACCAATATCTCGTCTCTGGGGATGCACGGTTGCAAGTCATAAAGCACAAATTCATGTCAATGAAAGATTAACGCCATACAGAAAACGACTACTGGGCAGAATCTTACAATTCAAGCGCGACCACAACTACAAGTTTATTTGGACGGCTAACGGTAAAATAACGCTGAAGAAAACGGAGAGCTCCACTACGAAATGTTTCGTAACCCATGGGGAATTCGAAGAGTTTCTTGACGAGCTCAATTAATTAGCTATCAGTTTAATGATATTACGGAGGTAAAAATGGCTGATTACCAGGAAAACGTAAGTAGTTGTTTACCATTTTATGATTTAACTGATAGAGAATTTCATGCTATGGTTGGCAGCTGGCCGGATAGTCGTCATGATCTTCACCTTTACGATCTCCTCCCAAATCCAAATAAATTTGACGAGTGCGACCCAGATTTAATGTTAAACACCCCCTGCTCAGAATATTATTCAGTCCGTAGCTTTAATAAAATGCTTGTGAATTCAGACGCAAAATCTTTTTCAATTCTTCACTGTAATATTAGAAGTTTATCTAAAAACCTAAATCTATTAGAAGAACTATTATGCTCCCTTGACTCCAAGCTGGATATACTTGGAATTACAGAAACTAAATTAGGTGAGAAGTCTATTTCTATTGTAAATATCAAAGGCTATAATTTTTTTCACACGGACTCGCCAACAAACGCAGACTGAGCTGCTTTATATATAGCTGATAATCTTAAAGCTGTACCTAGGACTGGCATTAAATTTGACGTAGCGTTAGTTGAATCCTGCTTGGCAGAAATTGATGTTGGTGAAGGTAAAAAGAAGATCATAATAGGTTGTGTCTATAAGCATCCCACTTGTAATTTAGAACAGTTTCGCAACCAACTAAATGATATAATCAAAACAATTAATCCCAATAGACACGAAATTTACATCTTTGGAGATATGAATATAAATTTCCTGAAATTCAATGAACATGCTCAAACTGAAGAGTTTTTAGATATGCTTTATGCCAATAACATCTTGCCGATCATTACTAAACCTACGCGCCTTACTGATCACACAGCAACACTCATTGACCATATATATACAAATTCTTTACAAAATTTTACACCAGGAATCCTAACAGTTGATATAACAGATCATCTTCCGATTTTCTGCTTAGTCAGAACCCACCCTTCACGGAATAATATTAACAAAAAATATTTTCGAGACTACTCTAAATTTAATAAAGATCTATACTTACATGATATAAAACTGATTGATTGGCACGAAATCCTCAACCCAGAAAAGAATCTAAATGAAAAGGTACAAGAGGCAATCAATACCCTGAATAAAATTGTAGACAAACATGCGCCTATCAGGCTGGCTAGCCAAAGCAAGCAAAGGCAACTTAATAAGCCATGGCTCACTAAGGGTATCCTAAAATCGCTAAAAAGGAAACAGAAAATGTACCGCACGCATTTCTTAAGCAAGGACTTACAAAAAATCGGGGAATATAAACATTATGCAGCTATTCTTTCACATGTTAAGAATAAAAGTAAGACAGAATACGATAACATGCAATTTGCAAAGTACAAAGACAACCTTAAGCAAACTTGGAAACTTATTGGTACTCTTGTCAAAAGGAAAACCAAAGGTCAAACTTTCCCCACAAGAATCACTCACAACAACTGGACTTTTACACAAGAAAAGGACATTGCCGAATTATTCAATAACTTCTTTGTAAACATTGGGCCAACTTTAGCAAGTGAAATCAAAACTGATCATACAGAAGTAGTCTACTAGGGAATAAAAAAATAGAGGGAAAATATTACAATTGTGGAGGAGGGAATTCACGAATGAGGAGCGAAAATAATAAAATTGTGGAGGCGGGAATTAAAAAAATTGAGGAGGGAAACGATTTAAAAAAAAGAGCTTGATTTCTTTGACTATTTTCAAGGTGCTCCCTTGGGGCTAGCTGTAGAGCTAATTTGTATTCAACTTTGGGCTTGCGAACTCGCATAATTAACTGATTAACCGTGCGTGAAAATGACAAGACTTTCATTTCCTCGAGATAGATGGGAGAAAACGGTTCTGTAATAGTCAGACAAGTTTACAGTTCGATTCGACTTGCATGTTTGGAGCAATGTTTTAAAAAATATTGGTGATAGTAAGACTTTTTCCTTAGCAAAGCGATTGCGAGAATGAAATACTGAGGGGAAAGCGCGCTTTTATGTTGAACACATAATAGATTGTTTACTATCCAATCAGGGTTAAAAGAGCCCGGGCAAGTCTAGGCAAGCCTATTGTTCCTATTGTAGTAGAGTGACGCTCATTAGTAAACCTAATCCAAATTAGTATGCAGGAAGACACTTCTTTCCGAGGTGACGTCATAGGCTTATGCATATCAATTAAGGGAAGGCATACGGAAGGCAAGGGAAGGCACCAAAGGGGGTTAAATTTGACCCTAGTAGACTACTTACAGACCCTTTGCAATATATAGAATCCACGCCATCAAACAGTTTTTACCTTGCTCCAGTGACCCAAACACAAGTATTTACATTATTTGCTGGGCTAAAAGAAAACAAAGCATCCCTTATTGTTCCTAACAAGCTTATTAAAGTTGCAACTGAACAGCTCTCTGCACCCTTTACTGAAATATATAATGAATCAATATTATCAGGGGAGTTTCCTGAAATCTTAAAGATATCAAAAGTAACCCCAATATTTAAAAGTGGTAGTCTTTCTGAGTTAAGAAATTACAGGCCAATAGCAGTTATTTCTCCCTTTAGTAAAGTACTGGAAAGACTAGTATATGACCAACTTGTGTCCTATCTGGAAAAAGAATGTCTACTATTTAACTTCCAATTTGGCTTTCGAAAGGGATATTCCACTGAATATGCCATTCTAGAAACTGTGGAAAAATTAAAGTCAGCAGTTGATCATCAAAAAATAACATGTGGTATCTTTTTAGACTTTTCCAAGGCCTTTGATACAATTAACCACCATATTCTCTTAGAAAAGTTTCTAGCCTGAAAACCATCACATGTGGTGTACCCCAAGGCTCCACACTAGGTCCACTGTTGTTTCTATTGTATATTAACGACTTGCCCAAGTCTTCAAAGAAATTAACTTTTAGGATTTTTGCAGATGATAAAAATATGTTTTATTCTTCAAAAGACCCAGAACAATTACAATCAGTAATCAATGAAGAACTTGGAAAGGTCTTAAAATTCTGTGCAGCAAATATGCTGTCCATTAACTTAAAGAAGACTAATTACATGATAATTACTTCACCTAAGAAGAAAACAAATATCAGAATAACAGCTTGTAATATAGAGCAAAAGTCTCAGATTAAATATTTGGGTGTCTTTATTGATGAACATCTAAAATGGGATGCTCAGCTCCAGCACATTAACAACAAAATAACAAAAAACATTGGAATTTTATTTAAGCTTAGGCATTATGTGCCTATAAGTACACTCAAACAACTGTACTATACTCTCATATATCCGTAACTAACGTATGGATTAATGAGCTGGGGTACCGAATACCAAACTAAGTTAAATAAAATCAAAGTAAGTCAAAATAACTGTAAACGCTGCATCTTCTTTGCAAATAAAAGAGAACGTCCCACACCGTACTTTACACTATTAGAAATCTTAAAGTTAGAAAACATCTTTAAATTAAAAATTAGGGCTCTTGTGCATAAAATTCAATATCAAAAAAAGGATACACCTCCTGCCCTCTATGACTTAGTTCAACCGGCTTCAGCTGTCCATAATTATAATACTAGGTATGCCACTAATCAAAACTTGTACAGACCGTTTTCCAGAACTAATTATGGCCTAGCAAGGTTTAGTGTAGTGGCATCACAGACCTGGGAAGCAACACCTACGAAAATCAAGTGTCTCCCCTTGAATAGTTTTAAAAAAGAATATAAACCCTTTCTACTTGACAGTCAGGCATCTTGAACAACTCTAGTCTGTTACTTAGTTCTATTTATTTAATTATTTAATCTAAATAGTTTTATTAGTAGTAGTAGTAGTACTGTATAACCTCCACCCACTTGTAACCGCTATGTGGTAGTAGCCAACTCGAAAGCTTGGCTCCTTTGGCTGCTACACACTCTTTTCCTTTGTTATGTTTAATTCGATGTATAGTTAGCTCTGTTTTTTTATCTCTCCTTTTTTTTTTCCTTATTGTTGTTGTATTGTAATTGAATAAGTGTGAATAAATGAACTTGAATTTAAACTTGAACTTGAACTTGCACTGTGGCTCCAAGGCTTCCCAAAGCAGTTATGCTATCTTCTGCGTCCATGAACGTTCTCCAGCATAAAAGTTCCCCTTTGCGGACAGAAAAACGCCCGGTGATATCAGGCCCGCTGAATGCATGGAACGCTGGTAATGCGACAAGTTTAACACTGCTGAGGGCGCTTATCACCCGTAGCAAAGACAAACGACGTCTTCACACACAGCCCCGGATAGCACCTTCGAGGCACAACTAACATCTGTGTCTGGAGAATGAATATAACGCTCCATTGCATCGTTGGCAGTTGGGTCCATAGCATGCAACAACATCTTGGTGTCTGTTTCTTTTTGATCACTTTGAAGATGGTTCACATTTTGTTGCGTTGCACGACACTAATTAATTTCGACATTAACGACATTAATTTCGATTGCATACATCCTTGTGGAAATTGTTTGCTTCAAGAATTCTCCCATGAATATGCCGCTGTAAGTCGGACATGGTCAATATCATACCTTTCCTTAATTTGATCTCTAGACAGATCTGTCATTGCTGAAACTCTGTACGTAAGGACTGGGTAGCAGAAGTAAAAGGGCTTTCCCGCGAGACTCGTTGCCGTCACAAAAAAAGTACCTGTTTCTGTTAAATGGTGATGTTTTAGATCTCGTTAGCCGCGAAGGTATTTCCTCTGACGCTATGTTTGAGATCTTCCGTCTTGTTTCATTAGGTCCAGCCAACTCTCTCTCGTACCGTTCTCTTGCTCGCCTGAGCATTCCCGTATAGACCGCGAGCAGTCTCTCTTTTGCTCGAAAATCTGTGAGCAATTGCGATATATGACCCTATGGATGGCGTCTTTACCCCAGGGGGCCGGGGGTCCTCACACCACTTGAACACTGTGAGTGCTACGATGCTTCTTTATCCTTACCCTTTTGAGCTGTAAACGTTTTTAATTTTTACCAACTTCCGAAATATTCTAAATGGGCGTGAGACGCCCATTCTTGTATGCACGTCAACACTCTGTTATGAGAAGTCGGTTTCTCTACAAGTCGTTCATTTGGCTTAATTTTGGCCACAAATAATACACAAACTTAAATTGAAGTCTTTTGTCTCTCCAGTGTCTGTAAAAATCGAAACTGAGACTGGGTAAAAGATGAAACGGCAACACCAAACCATAAAACTGGAATATGTATTAGCACGCGCAGAGAATTAGAAAAAAAAAAGCCCATATAACTGTCATAGTTGGAAAATGGAATTTCTTATTTTATTATAAAGGCAATCCAGTTTATACCTGAAATGTTTCATGAATTTCGTGAATGAACCAAAAGTTAAAAATATAACACGGAGGAGATTAGCACTGAGAGATTGGAGAGATAGGCCATTATGGGATTCTGGTCTTTGGTCATTGTTTGAGATACATTAACAAACGTAACTTAAACCACAACTTACTAAGACATTTTCAAGTCTTAAATCCCCATGAACACATCCCTGGAAAGTACTATGAACAACCATCAGTGCGTTTACAATCTGCTGCGCCCATCGAATGACGTTCAAAATGGCCAAGGAATTGTCTGCGACTGCTGGATTGCTCCCCGTGTGCTCAAAAAAATAGGACTTAAGGGACGGCCCGCAGCGTTCCGTCACAAACACTGCCTCAACTCCTCTGTGGACGTCTCTGAAGACAGCGCCAAGGAATTCAACAATGTGTTGATGACGTAGATTCCTATGAACAAACAATTTAGGATAGAAAATGTCTACTCAAGTGACAAAGACCTGTGGGGAAAAATAAAGTGATTGATTTGCTTTATTTATTTATTACGTTGGACCATAGCGATATTTTAACTGAATACAATTGTCTTTTTTGCATTACATTGCACTTTCAAAAAAATACTGAACTTTGACGAACGCCCACGACTCCAGGTGGAAAAAGACTTTCAGGGATAATAGAGAGGATTGAAAGGAAAATAGGGAAGGAGGAATAAGACGAACTTGATTTTTGGACTGAAAAGATATTGTGTATATTTTTTCCGAGGGGTCTGAGAAAGATTGATGAGTTATTAATAAATAACAGCTTCTCTGTTGAGCAAGCTATCAGTTATTTTACTGTTACCGGTGTTTCAAAATAAGTATTATTGTTTGCATTGATCATCTTTTACCTACAGCCGGCTAAATGCTTTTTTCATGGCTTATAGGATAGTTTTCATTGGTACAATTGTCATCGGCTCATGAATAAACTTCCGGTTATCTAGCTGTTGCTTTATTACACATTTGATTTACCGTAACTTGGTCGTGCTCTAAGTTTTCTTGTAACATGTTCTAACTGAAATGAAGTAATGAAACTGATGAAAGTTCACGTGGTGTTTAGTTGGAACGTAACTGGTCTTTTGCAGATGGCATTATTTGTGTAGTCAGTAGTGTAAGGTATCGCCTCTACGGATAGTTATTACCGACCTTAAGTTGGACGGTGACTTTGGCCGCCGCGGCTTGGGGAGGGACGACATTGACTTGGCGAGAGAAACAAACTTTAAGTTTCAGTAGAGGTGACGGTCGAAGACTTTTTTTTAACTTTATTGAAGGTTCGAGAGAATGAGTTCCCTGAAAGAGATCCGAGAGATTTTGGTCTTCTAGCTTTTATGTGATGGTGTCATATCAGATGAGGAATTCGTTCTCTTGTACAATGAAATCTAGTTGCCTGTGAGCGCTTTGTTACTCGAAAGTGAATGTTCGTCGCTTCATTTGAGCCTATTTTCGATCTACGTATTGCCACATTTTTCCACGTTCCACAGTTCTTAGACTAACAACGGCTGCTAATGGAGCTTCACAATTCTGGACTTGAATCGGTAGGGCTCACTTACAAAAATTTCTCTAGTAAGCTGAATATTTTGATCTTTAGTCCGCCTCACATTCTTATAATCAGAACAAATTGAAAGGATGGACAGGTTGCGCGAGAAACAAGTTCCGGCTTCACCCTGATATTTTGAACACAAAAACACGAAGAGAAATCTCACGTTCTCGAGACACCGCCGCACTGAGCTTTCTCACCGTCGCGACGTGCAGTCGACGTAGGCAGGACGGCTAAGATATATGCAAATTAGCCCCAAATCAGGCAAAATTTTATTTCCGGTTGCCCCTTGTTATCCACCTTAATTTAAGGTCCCTGTCAGCTAAGAACGTCCTTGAGAGATTATTATAATAGACACTGTATTAAGCAGAAGGAAAGATTTTTCTTATTTTATCGGAAAAAATTATCTTTCGCATAACAATACAGTGTAACAACATTTTTGACAGAAGAGGGGTACCCAAACAAGTTGAGAAATTACGGACATTCCAGGGGGTGGGTGGTATGACAAGCACCCCCTAGGGGTTGGGGGTCTAAAGCAAAAGTGCCCTCCGTGGCGGGGGAAGGGGGTGAGTACACAGTAAACAGTACTTACGGGAAGTATAATTATTTAATTCTTTACCCTTACTCTCTTAAGTGCCATTGTCTGAGAAAGTGTGCAAAGGGCCAAAAGTTGTGGTCAACCGATTTGGCTGAAACTTGGCACAGCAGTTGGGTGTGATGAAATATTTCAAAAGCCACTTTGGCTTACTTCTCTGACTTTTAGTTTTGGAGTTACAGGGGGGGTCTCATTTTTGGCCTTTTGAGCACCAAAAATCCAGCCTTCCAGCGGGAATTTTGAAAGTGCCATAAGACCCGACTGGCAAATTGTGCCACCAAATAAATTTGACCATGAACTCTACTATAATAGAGCTTTCAGTTTATTCATGAAACTTTGTCCTCAAGGTATTGCACAGAGAGACGCCTGGGGGCTAGAGTTTGGCCAAAATTGATGTTAAAATTACAACTCAAAATAGCCATTTTTCAAAATTTTAGTATATTCACCTGGCTTCTTGCATAACTTCCACTGTTTACTTTAGTCACCCAATTATCAAAATCAGTTGAGAAAAATTTGGCTTATTGTGCTTTATTGTTTTTCATCAGGCCTCAGTTGTTCAAACGTTAAATAGCACTATCCACCGGATAAATCACTGTCCAGCGGATAGGTATGGGGGAAACTAATGGCACTATCCACTGGATAGAGATTTATGCGGTGGAGAGCGCTATCCAGCCTTAGAACAACCGAGGCCAGGTGTGTTCGAAATTCTAGAAAGAATAACTTGAAAGCTGTTTTTTGTCTGCTCGAGCTGTTTGTTTATATTCAGCTTGTCACATGTAGACGCTTATCAAGCAATGCTAAGTTTGGCAATGCACAACTCGAGTTAGTTTGCATTGAAACTCCACCGGTCTCCTTTATTTGCCCGTTTCGTCGAAGACAAGCCATGTTAAAAAAGGCTTAGCTACATAATGCCACAGGAATTTTTTTGGGAATTTTAGACACCAAAAAATTTTTTAGAAAATCTCAAGAATATGAGAGAAAAAATGACAAATTCGAGAACTTCAATAGCCCCTTATATAGCAGAATATTGAATAGCAGTTTGAACACTCACCTGACATTTTGGCAGCATTTCACAGGCAAAAAGGTTGAAAAACGAATTTAATATTTTTTTGTATTAGTACCAATCAAGAGAGGGCTCAGTCCACTCACATGCTACAACAGTGTCTAGAGTACTCTCCACTAAGCACAACAAATCAGCAGTTTTTCATCAGAGTCGTCAAGACTACAACTTATCGGAGGTTTGGGGTTTCTCGCTCTTTTTATACTTTCCTTCCTACCAGACATTCCCTTCCTATTTTCCTCGCTTCAACATTCAAAGTATATAAAGCTAAATTTCAGTGAATCAGCAGAGAAAATATCTTTAATCTCTTTTTTTCTCCTTTGAGTTAGAACTACAGTTAACTAAAATTTACTATACATCCCCGCCCCCTTTATTTTCTGGTTTTTGTAGCGTATGTAATCCGTATTGTAAGTAATGCAAGTAGCTGTGGAGTATAACACGGTTACTAGTGTAAGCATCTCATTGTTAGTAGTATAAGTACCTCACTGTAAGTAAGTATTGCAAGTTTTGCATTGTAAGTAGAGTATATAGTATCGTTAGTAGCGTAAGTATCTCACATTGTAAGTTAGCATAGTTTTGTAAGTAGAGTATAGTTTTGTTAGCAGCGTAAGTACCATACATTGTTTTGTAAGTAAGAATTGTAAGTAAGTACTTTGTAATTGAAAGTGTTTTAATTAAATTAAAAAAAAAAAAGACTTATCGGAGGTTATTCACCAAAAGGGGCCCTCGCTATCAAAAAGGAATACAATTTTTTTGAATTTTTAGGAAATTTTAAAGACTTTTAGATACCACTCATGATTACAAAAATTATTTAGGTATATTTTTTCATTACTTTTTTAATTGAATAATTAACATTAATTAATTATATAAATAATTAAACAATTTTTTGCTATAAAAATACACGAATCTTCCGAGCTCTTCCAGAACCATTCAGAGTCAGTTCCCATTCAAGTACAACACATGTTTGTTCATTGCCTATGCATTATTCTAAGCAAATCCAAATGCAATAATATCAACTAATTCGGTCGATTTTGCGAGGACGTTTTAATGACTTTTTGTTGCTGAAAACGTCAATTTCATCAAAGAGCTTAGATGCAGCATGTTTGCAAAGATCTTCCACGAAATGGGCAAAAAATGGAAACCGGTAAATTGTGCATTGCGTGATAAGCGTGTGCACGTGACAAGCTAAATATAAACGAGCAGCTCGAGCAGAGAAAAAATCATAGCCTTCAAGTTATTCTTATCGTACTTGTTTCTTTTTTGATAAAGAGATTGCTGCGATAAATTGTTGAATGTTTAGTGCTCTTTTTAAGGAACCGGGAAATTAACATGGGAATCACTCAACCATAAACAAACAATTTTAGACGACAATATCGTAAATTATATATTGTCGTCTATCTCCAATCAGAAGAGTCCTCTAGATCGCGATAAAAGCCATTTGTGCGCGTGTATGCTCCATAACTGATCTTTTGAATCACCTGTAGCTTTGGTATCACGAGGTCTTCCTCTTCTTCCCCGGACACACCTGAACCCTTCTACTTGCCCTTAAACCATGCAGTCATGTCACTATCGCAAGACAAGAAAAAAGGAAGCATTCCTGTTTCTTGCACAACCCATTACGTGGCACGCCACTGGTCATTTACTCCTCCAAAGGAATAAAGTGCCATCGTAAAATTATCCTGAAACAGATCGCTTTCTAAAATTTCGACTGGTGAAAAACACAAAAAAATTCCCTCGAAACGGGAGAAGGATTGGATGGGAACTCGGTCCAGTCCCCACACTCTCCAAGTCCAAAATGGCGGGCCAGTTAATTTGATATAATAACAATTGTATCATCTCCACGCAAGGCTTTGTTTGGGTTATTTCCTTTAAAAAAGCAACAAAAGCTTTTTGTTATCCAGCTCTCCTAACTGTGGATGGATGGTTTCATTTTCTCAGCTCTAAAGGACTCGGAAAATTAGAGGTCACCTCGATCCTGCTCATTGAAGCTCGTATTTGTTTGTATAATCTAAGTATGGTCATGGTCCTTTGCTGATGGGTATTTACAACAACTATTCAGGCTATTACAAGGTCAGACGAAGATTATATGTTAACGAACGTTTTGTTAAGCTAACTTTATCTGGTAAAAGTATAAAAAATGGGCGTGACAAAATATGGAGACTTTCCATGTTTGGAGTAATGCCTAGAAATATGACATGAAACTGAATATGAATCAAAGAAAAATTTAAGCATACTGTAAAAAGATCATTATATCTAGGTCAGACCATCATCATTTGTGTTCTATGATGGTTACTAGGTTTTCAAAGAAAAAAAAAACCCTTGTTTTGCAAAATCATGTGTTTGTTGTGCTAATCAGAGGCCCCTTTTAGATCAATTTTAAGGTTATAGTCGGTGTATTTCTATACAACAAAACTGATTTGGCTTTGACAATTCATTTTCACTTACCAAATACAGAATAAGGGCTTCTTGTCAACAATTTGCTTTGTCTATGGCCTGAATTATGCTCAAAATCTTATTTTGCATCGCCTTAGAGGGGCACGAAGTGTTTGTTCCAAAAATTCAATAAACCATAATAAGCCAAATTTTTCTCAACTGATTTTGTTAATTGGGTGACTAAAGTAAACAGTGGTATAGGTATGGAAGTTATGCAAGAAGGCAGGTGAATATACTAAAATTTTGAAAAATGGCTATTTTGAGTTGTAATTTTAACATCAATTTTGGCCAAACTCTAGCCCCAGGCTTTTTTCTGTGCAATACCTTAAGGACAAAGTTTCATGGATAAACTAAAAGCTCTATTATAGTAGAGTTCATGGTCAAATTCATTTGGTAGCACAATTTGCCAGTCGGGTCTTATGGCACTTTCAAAATTCCCGCTGGAAGGCTGGATTTTTGGCGCTCAAAAGGCCAAAAATGAGACCCCGCCTGTAACTCCATAACGAAAAGTCAGAGAAGTAAGCCAAAGTGGCTTTTGAAATATCTCATCACACCCAACTTCTGTGCCAAGTTTCAGTCAAATCGGCTGACAACAACTTTTGGCCCCTGGAACACTTTCTCAGACAATAACACTTAATAACGGTCGGTTTTGAAATAAAAAAGTACAGTACAATCTTATTGCGGGTATGGAATAAATAGAGGCAAGTGCTTGTTATTTAAATGAACCACTACTCAAGGATGCTAGATAGTTTTTTTACCTCCTGACTTTTTCCGCCACTAGACATTCAGTGATGTTGCCTTTGGTGAGCAGATCTTGATAGACTCTCAAATTGACCGGTCGAGATGGATACCTTCCACTGGAGATTGTACCTTGATAGGTGCCAACAGGTAGAATATTCTGCTGGAGGAAGTTATCCTCGCTGACATTCCACTGAAGGTCACTCCAAGAAATCTGTATGCTCCGGATCTCTAAAGCACCAAATAACCCGAGCTGACCACGAAGGCACTCACATTTTTCTTTCTTGGGTTTGTACTGTGTTTCAACATCCTGCTTAATTTGTTCTTCCTTCATCAGCCTCTGACACAGTTGAACGTCCGCCTCAAGGAGCATGGGAATTCTCTTTTCGATGTCTTGTAGGCACGAAAGAGCTTGATCCAACTGATCTTTAACAAAAGGCTGAAGGGCTTGGCGCGTGGAAAACATCTCAAGGTACCGCAGGGATAGATTTTTAGCATACTCGCCTCGGTTCGTGCTATATTTCCTCTTTATTAATGTATGGCTGGCTTTTTCAGTGATCGCCGCTAATCCCAAAAGAGGCAAAATAAACACCATTGATGGAATGGACATTACCACCGATACAGCTACAAAGGGCGTCAAAACTACAGCACCGACCATTTCTCCAGGGGTCCACGACCTGTTTCTGATACTGCCTCCTTCTCCCCCCTCAACAGGGTCTTGCATGACTTCGATTTCCAGCTCGCGAAGCTCTCCCTCCAGGTAATTGTATTTACGAAGAAAATAAGAAACCGTCGAACTGCGTGCCTCTGAAAATTTCTCTTTCTTTTCTTCCCACTCCTTTATCACCTCCTCTAATCGATTTCGCATGAGCGTCTCGAGACAATTTGCAATTACAGGCCATGAGTCTTCGCCTCCTGGTAGGTCGTCCTCGTTCCATTTGCAAAACATATTGACAACCTCTGGAAGTTTTAAGTGGCTTATTAATTCATTAATAGCTTCTTCTAACTTGGTCTCAAATTGTGTCCTGAGATCCTCCTTTAACGTTTCCTGTTCGACTTGAAGCTTCCTCAGACGTTTAACCACATACTCCAACTTTTGCTTTGCAGCCTTCCGATCGGCGTTGGCATTTTCTAGAAATGATGTCATCAACCAGGCAATCCTTTTTAGGAGATAATCCAGCCAGCTGTAAGAAAAGGTTTTCAGTTAATTACAACTAAAAAGTTCAACAGACTTTTTTCGTTCCGGCAATTAGAACATGAATAAGTGAACAACATGATACGTCCTTCTTGGTTACTTAGTGTTATGGTTATTGAAACGTATTTTGTTTAGTAAAGATGCGTAACTTGAGCCTGGTTTCCATATGATCGGTACGATCGCTGTGATCGCTGCGATCGCTGAGAAAAAAAGTTCAGCGATCGCAGCGATCATAAGGAAGCCACCTTCCAGTGATCGCAGCAACAACGATCGCTGAGATATGATCGTTGTCGCAGCGATCGGTGGAAAGTGGTTTCCATATGATCGCTGCGATCGCTGAACTTTTTTTTCTCAGCGATCACAGCGATCGTAACGATCATATCGAAAGCAGGCTTTAAGTAGAAGCAGTTACGTTAGGGAATAAAATTGGAAGGAGCGAGATGGCACTAATTAGATACTGCTTTATTGAGTGGAATAACATGATGTGAGTAGAAATATACCGTATTTCGGCAGTTTGATAATTTTCTAGGAATGAAATGAATGTTAGACTATCAGCCTTAACGTTGCTTGAGGGTCGTGAAGGGGTAAAATGGGAACTGGGATTAGCCTTATTGTGGACTGGGAAAATGGGATTTACTCACTGGGACTGGGATTTAGCCACTGGGAATGGGATGAACAATTATAAAATGTGACCCTCCACAGGAATTTGATGCTAAAGGTGAAAGCACGCGCACGACACGCTTGCACGACACGCTTAGCGTGCCGTAGATCACGGATATGCGCATATTAAATTGAAAAAACAAAGACGGACACACAAGCCTTTGTTTTGGCAAATTTAACACGCTAGACCTTTTGTTTTTTTGTAGCGTGCCATATGTCACGGTAAGTGTGCGAATTATAGCACGGTTAGCGTGCAATTTGGGTAACACACGCTGAAGACGCTTGATTACTAAAACCGCTAAGATGATAAAAATGGCTTGGGTTTTCAGCGGATTTAATAAGCATTGATAACTGGTCGAAGTGAATCAAATATACCAATTGAGACTGTTTTGGAATTTGATAGTAACCGTGGCCATTTGAAAATCACGACTTAATGGTGGTCTAGCCTGGAATTAACGCGAGATCAGTGTAAACCAATTCCTCCGGCTGTCGGCTGTTGACCGGAATCGCAAAGAGGCCTGCTATCGCATGCGAGGCACTGAAGTTATGTCGCCTGAAAATTATAGTTATGCCACCGGAATATTTATTAGCAGTAATGCACAGAGAAATGAAGTTGAATAAATTAGTTTAATATATTTCTTTAAGCCATGCTAAGACGAACGAAGGTAATTAAATCGGAGAAACAAAAACTGCCTAGAATTTTCTATAGGTTGAGGAAGGCTAAACATTTCTAGATGACCGTTCCATGCATGTACAATTTTCGAAGGTTATCTAATAAATTCCTTACGATTTTCTGAAGTTTATTTTTTTCCATTTCATTCCCCAGTTAAGCTATTTTTCGTAGAGAATTAAGGAATCCTAAAATTTTCGGAACCGAAATACGATAAAATTCTCACTTTCCTAAAACTTTCAATTGGAAGCTAAATTTTTCGGGAAAATAATGCTGAAGCCCTGGAAAGAACTTTAATTTTGCAATGCTAATATAGTTCTACCCATAAATCCAGTAGGTCACACCGTTCACTGTTTATACTTTTCAAGCGACAACGTTTTTTCAATCAGATACTATCGCTACGATCGCTGAGGTATAACTTTTTCTTTCTCGATAGTTACTAAAAAAGGGTGCCGTTCATAATCATTTACGGTTCCTTTTTGTAGAGGAAATTTATATAGCTTTTGCGCACACTGAAAGCGTGTTGTGCTTTTTCGCACGGAGCTTTTGTTTGAAAACTTTAACACGCTCTTTTGTTCGACTTGCTCACGCTTAATTGTCTCAAGTGTGTCCTCTGAAACAAAAGAAATTGCTAATGAGGCAAGATTGCAAGCGTGCTAAAGCGTGTTAAAATAAATTCTTTTGTTTTAAAGTGAAAGCGTGTCGTGCGCGTGCTTTCACCTTTAGCATTAAAATCCTGTGGAGGGTCACAAATGGGAATGGGATTTCTTTTCTTCAGCGGTCTTTGCTCCAATATTTTGAAATAGAAAAATGAAATTTCGTAGCAATAGACCTTGCACTCCTCAGTAGAGACCGTGAAATCAGTATTTTTCGCCTTCGCGCCCGCGGTCTAGCTACCAGCTAGCAGTGAAAGCGGAGACAGTGAGTCAGACGAGGATTGTACGGATGATAGAATTGGTTTTCATATGGTTATGTCAACAAGGGCTGGAAGAGAAAGAGTGTTGACCAGCAGAATGAGAGATTTTCTTCAGTCCAGGTGAAGGTACGTGTATCCAAATAGCGTCAATCAGTGCTTTTAATTTATTATGCGCATGATTTTGCAAATAATCATTAGTAATGGGATTTTAGATTTGGTAACTGGGATTTTGGCAAAAATTAGCCGGGGAACTGGGATTTGGGCCAAATTTTAGGCTGGGAACTGGGATTTGGTACCCCCCTTCACGACCCTCTTGCTTGAAGCGTAATTTAATTGCAGATACATGTATTGTAAAGCCGAGGTGATTTTTTAAAATCGTTTTAGGAAATTTTCTTGTAAACAATTTGAGTTTTCTTAGGTACGAATTGTAACAGGAAGAAAGTCCAACATCTTCACGTGCAAATTGTGTGCATGAGTTATTTTTAAAATTCTGTTTACTGAATTACTGTGAACCACGAAAGGGCAAAGTCTAACAATTTCACGTGCAAACTGTGTGATTCTACATCTCATGTTGGCTTTTCACAGTAATAATAGTAACTTGAACGTATGAAGACATCTTTAGTTTTGTAACTAGTGCCTAAGCAAAGGCTCTTTTCTTTTAAGAAGCAAAAACTCATAACACTCTTAGAATTAAGTGGTCAGAGTTAAAGCCTTTTTCATTAAAGTAGAATCGCACGTGATAACCTCGTGAATATTGATGATGCAACCATCTACAACAATGATGAAAATCTTAGCTATGCGGTATTTGACTACCTTCATTATTTTAAGAAACCATGAAGAAACCTTGAAACCTTCGAGTCTTCCCTCTAAGCAACGTTTGGGGAATTGATATTCATAGTACTTTAACAATTTGTTTATTTGTTTTTTTTGCGCCAAATGTCTGACGGAAAGACAAAGAAACGTGAATTTATCAGAACGAATCAGCTATGTGCTGCGGTTCTCGTTTTCATTAATGTACAGAAATAGCCAATTTCGCACAAACCATAGTCTTAATTTAGGATTAAGACAGTAGATTGCCGATATTGTTACACTGAAGCATTCAAAATAGCTCATGCACGTAAAACGTGCCTATGTTCTACTTTTAAATGGTACTCCTCCACGACTAAAAATCTATTTCAAATAGTAAGACATTTAAACATTTCAGTAGAAAAGAAGACAGAACCTTCGCACGCAACTGACTCACGGGACACACACGAGAGGCAAGATTAGGCTGACATCAACGGTCATAGTTAAATGACATTTACAGACGAAACATCAAATCGACTGGGACTCTGCGACATGTATTACGTATTCATTCTACAGACTACTATCAACAACTCACTTGAGAAAGTCATGAGTCTTGAAGTCAAGGCCGAAATTTTAGGGAAATTGTGCGTTTTTGGAGAAAAGACTGAAACTTCTCACCAATGTCAACCAAGAGCCGCTTAACAGTTTTGCAAATAGAGGCATGGCTGAAAAGTCCTATAAGTAGAATAAAATGATTTTAATAAAAATGCTGACGTCAAAAAAATTAAAGTATGAAGTGAATAATCAGAAGAAAAATTAATACCAGAGACTCCAACAAGGAGTGCCTCTGATACCATTAGCGGACTAACTGCTTTATTTGCATACCTTTTCTACTCTTAATTATGTCTTTCCCAAATCACCATCATTTTCCCCGAGAAAAACAACCAGAATGCCCCCTTAACAAGCGACTTTCCAGGACCCTCTATACTAATAAGCCCAGACAACCAAGCTGACTCGGTTTCCTAGATCTCGACACATTCAGTTTCGATATATAGCCAACTTCTGTAAAGTATTAGTCACAAGTGTGATATGTTAGCGCACATAGAATATTTGTAACCGGTTAATGATATTTACTGTTTCTAATGGAGCCTATTTGGCAAACGCAATCGATCGTGGAACTGCGTTTCAGTTCAGTGAAAATCAAACAGCTACTCCGGTTTGGAAGGTTTTATCTTTTACGTCGAAAAGAAGCCCTAAACGAATGCAGCTGTCTCTAATTGTTGGAATTGCATTCGGCTTCTGATTGATTTCAGATTTGCGGATTTGCGGATGATCCGGATTTCCGCATTTCTGGTTTTCCCTATTTCCCGGTTTCAACATTTCCGGTTTACGTGTCAACCTGCATTTGACCTTGCAGAGCCGATTGAATAGAACGTTTATTCGAGGTTGTAGCTCTGAAATCTCAATTTTCTGATCAAAATAAGACCTGCCTAGTTGATTTTCTGATTCTTGAGCAAACTTCCAGCCCTGAACGGTTGTTTTACCGAGCTATTTAGCTCGAAACGTGACACAGTTTCAACTGTTTTGAGCTTCGGATTGTTAGCATGGGATTCAAAGATGGCCACATACCAGCAGTTTCTAAAGCACATTTACTGGAATTTTATGGAGTCCGGCATCTCAGGGATTGGAATATGGCTCAATTTGTGAGTCAGTGCCAGTAATGTATTAGGTAAGCCGTACTTTTGACAAAATCTGCTTGAGGTAGATCCGTTACGCTAAATCTGAAAATATCGTATTAGCTACAATAGCATACGCGTTGATACAAACGGTCATAACTTTTAAAATACTAAAATGGTACATGGGGTTTTGTATATTATTAATAACAGATGGTCTATCTTTGCGTCTATTTAGTCTAGAGCTTTCAACTATGTCCCAAAAGTCAGAAATAAGCTCCTAAAACAGGGTAATTTTTGGCCTTTCGCTCCAAGGCAATTAGTTGGGGTCATATTTTGCTTGATTTCGTCTTTCCAGCTAAATTTAGCGGATAACTATTGCCTTCAGGAAAAACTAGAGATGTTTACTTATAAATAGGTATAAAATTCATTGACAGATGGTGCAAATCAAACATTTTACAGCGCCGCAAAAAACGTCAAATTTTCAGTTTTCAAGACGTGTAGAATGGCCGTGGCGGGACAAAATACTTGGCGCCCCCCAGCGCGGCCAGAAAATTATTGTGAATCAAAGCAAACCTATTTTAGTTATAGTCTCGATAAAGCCTTTCACTCGCCAGAGTTTTAGGCAAAATTATTTTTCACGCGAAATTGAGTGGGCGGTTTTTACTGAGACAGCCTCTTAAAGCTGAAATAAGAAAACTCACCCTGTGATTGCAATGAGACTGTTATTCCACCGAATGAAATACTGTAAGTAACCACGCTGAATAAACTGCATGGGTGCCGCCATGACAGTTTGCTATGTCAAACCCCCAAATTGATAAAACAGAACAAAACAAAACAAAACAAACTGGCTGTAGTGATTATACTTGGTTTTATGTCGTAATGAAAAAAGTTTTTTTAAAGTATGTTTTGCTTCTAAAATTCTCAAGTTACATGCTATTTGAGGGGTTTTACTGATAAAATAGTATCTTTCACAATAAAATCTTTTTCATGTGTTCGTCTATGAACGGAGATGGCACTTTCCTTAATGGATCCTCAACTCATGCACTCATGCACTCATATGACATTTATGATATATTTAAGAGCAAATTATGCGAATATTTTACTCCGAGAAATGCTACCGTCAACATTTTTTTTCTTTTATCTAAACTGGTTTACTCCTGTTACATGACTTTTCAGCGATGCCTTTATATCAAAAATTCTTGAGCACACAGATCAGAGGCCTACAAATATGCAGACTTTGGTTCTTTTATCATAAAACGCACAATTCCTTCTTTTAGCATCCTGACCACAGCTGCTTTTATAACTTAGAATAAATGCCACTGAATCGTATTCAACAGTCAGGACCGGCACAGTACAAACGACTTATTGAAGGACTCAAGCAAAACTCACAACTACCGAATGACTGGACGACCGAAATTAAACACCTGTTGAACTGTGACAAAGACGGATCCGCTCGAAACGCTCTTCATTCTGATCAGTTAAATGGCGTGCGATGGCCCATGACTCTGACAAAGTTTAATAAGACTGTTTTGGTGTAAAGATTTTAAGGATGCTCAGACCTTTCACGTACCTGCCTCCTAACTGGCTCCAGGTGTAACGTTACTATTTGAGTAACCATAGACAGTAGTATACTATGTTGGAAAATAACCCCCTTTGGTGTCTAGCAAGGTCTAGCTAGGTCTAGTCTATGACGTTACCGATTGTTATAACCTGGGGAAAAAGTGGATTCGGTTATTAATATGTATAAATGTCTTCCTGCATACTAATACATAACATAACATAACATAAAACATTATTTATACTCGAATTTTTTTTTAATTTGGATTTCCCTTGGATTTCCCGCATACTAATTTGGATTTCCTGCATACTAATTAAGTGCCTTCCTTCATATATAATGAAGTGGATAGGTTTACTAATGAGCGTAACTCTACTACAATAGGAACAATAGGCTTGCCTAGACTTGCCCGTGAAGTAACTTGAGCCCGGTTTTCGGACCGTCTATTAAAAGGAAAATAGGAATACGAGAAGCGATCACCTAGCAACGTGAGAAACGGCTTCCCCTATCTTAATCAGCGCTAAAACTCAGATATATAAACAAAACACATACAGAAAGGGGAGCTGAAAAGTCTTTATTTCAAAAAAGTTTACTTCTTCTTAGCGCTAAAACTCGGATATATAAACAAAACACACGCATATATACACAAAGTGGAGTTGAAAACTCTCTATTTAAATTTTGTCTGACTATTAAAGAACTGTTTTTTCCGTTCTATCTCGAGGAAATGAAAAACTATTGAAGTCTCAAGGTTTCACGCGTCGTTAGTTAGGCAATTATGCGATTTCACATGCCCAAAGTTGAATACAAATTAGCTGTACAGGAAAAACCTCAAGGGAGCATATTGACGTATTATTATAAAACAAATAACTTAACAAGGATCAATTGATTAAAAACGCGACTAATAATTGCTAGCAATAAAATCAGACACAAGATACCGTTTAAAACAGAAAAAGAGTCAAATACACAGCGATTTGAAAGAAATCTGTTAAAATAGTCAAAGAAAGCAAGCTATCTTTTTTTACTACGTTTCCCTCCTCAATTTTTTTCCCTCCACCACAATTTTAATATTTTCCCTCATTTTTAGCGGAGCTCTGGCGCGCGAAGCGCGCCTGCGGAGCACCATGGGTAAGTAAATCTACCCATCCCAGAAAATTTGGTAATCACGTGACCGTACACCGCCCGCCCACTGCCCGTCCGTCCGCACCACAGGGAAACCAATGTTCAATCCCACACTTTCTAGCTAGTTTGGGAGCACAGGAAGACTGATATTGCACACATATTGCACATCAATGTTGTGATCAATTGACAGCTGTCAAAACAAGGTCCCGCTGACCACTATCACCTGACCGTATCGCGGGCTCAGGTGTCGACCCATTGAGGTCGAGTATTTTTTGAAGTTATCCGCTGACAAGTTACTAGTTTTCAAATGATTGCAGGCTCAAGTTTAATTTTTTCAATTCATATGAAATAGGTTGCGTTTTATGTGTCGCACAATTAAAATTTTGATTTCAAACTGACCTCAAAAGCTAAGATTCAGCCAGTTTTTACAGGCAGGGAAGACATGCCAGTTGCTTTTGACTTTTCTCACCAAGGTCACGCGTTGGTCACGCTCTACGTCCAACTTGTATGCTCTGATTGGTCAAAATTTCAATTTGTTTTTAACTGCCTTTCTCCACTGAACATTGTACAAAATGAAATTCACCTGCTATCAAGAGTCTTCTGTTATTCATGGCTAGTTTGTTTATCGGGTTTTTGGCTGAGAAATACGTCGCTTGTCAAAGTCGGAAATCCGATTTCGGATGGCATCGTTTTCGTTTTTCACCTTGCTTGATGCGTGAGAGGGTTGAAAAGTCTGAAGCGATTTAGTTTTCAGTGCATCTCGAATGGTAAGCCTGAGTAATTATTTTATTTGATGTTTGTTTTTTATATCTAATTCTATGAAGTCGAGTGTAGTTTATGGTGCTATTTAGTTTATTCACGTTTGTAAGATTTGAGACAATGATCTGACCGAGTATCAGGTTTGATTATAAGCTTATAGAACTTTAAAAAGCCTTCAGACATTTTGTCACCGCAAATGGAAAGAAAACGTTTCAAAGAATATTTAGTTATAATTCTGGCTGTAAAACAAAGCTTTGAGCGATTTTCTTTCCTCGAGTTCATCTTTGAAAAACGCAAACACCGGGAAGCCGGCTTAAAACATAAACAAGGATTTTCAGAGACACTTTAATACTTGTCTTCGTGAATGAAAATTGTTGCCTCTGTATATGTTTCACCGAATTATTTTCCTTTTATTGATTGTTAGTAGTCTCTTTTGCAATTTTCATCGCTGTTGTGCCGTTTGTTGTCAGTCGCTCATGAACATAGCTTGCAGGAGTAGTCAAAATGCCGCGCGTATCAAACGCTTTTGAAGATTACACATCGTTATAAAGCCATTATGTTGAAGCGCATGACTGTGTTAATCTTAATTTAAACAGTCGACTTTGGCGCTTGTCAAAAGTGAGAACCGGCTAGCCGTATAGGTGATTTTGGAAATTTTTTTAACGGTTTCGCTAACGCGTGCTTCGATCGTCCTGAATATTGAATGAGTGCAATTTGTATTGCAAAATTGTGAAATACTGCATTCTGTCCGAGGTCTGTATGATAAAAACAACGCCTCATGGTACTATTTTCCCCTCAGATGTGATGTATAAAAAGTATAAAAAGTTGGTTTACACGTCCCCAGACTTGTTGGCAAGATTTTGTAAAGTGAACTTATCGAACGCAAAACATTCGGCCTGGTTTGTTTTCCTAATGTACTGTGATCAAGAACCATTATGGCTACGCTATTTTTTAGGTGTACATATAAGGCTATCAAGTGGATGTAAGATTAATTTCAGTCTTAGCTTCGACTGTTTGCAAATCATTTTTCTCTAAAATTACTTAGCCTTTCCATCAAAAGTCACATGAATGTGCTCTAAAGTTAACTGATTTGTGGAACACAAGTTTACGATTGTTTGATTTAAATTATAAATGCGAGTTAGTAGGAGCTTCGCTTTTAGCCCTGGCTAAATCTATATATTATTGAAAAAACAGTTCTGTAATAGTCAGACAAAATTTAAATGGAGAGTTTTCACCTCCACTTTGTGTATATGTGCGTGTGTTTTGTTTATATATCCGAGTTTTAACGCTAAATAAGAAGAAGTAAACTTTATTGCAATAAAGACTTTTCAGCTCCCCTTTCTGTATGTGTTTTGTTTATATATCTGAGTTTTAGCACTAAATAAGATATGGGAAGCCGTTTCTCGCGTTGCTAGGTGATTGCTTCTCTTATTCCAATTTTCCTTTTAATAGACGATCCGAAAACCGGGCTCAAGTTACTTCACGGGCAAGTCTAGGAAAGCCAATTGTTCCTATTGTAGTAGAATTACGCTCATTAGTAAACCTATCCACCTCATTATATATGAAGGAAGGCACTTAATTAGTATGCAGGAAATCCAAATTAATATGCGGGAAATCCAAGGGAAATCCAAATTAGTATGCAGGGAGACAGTTATACCTATCAATAAAGGGAATCCACTTTTTCACTTGGTTATAACAATCGGTGACGTCATAGACTAGACCTAGCTAGACCTTGCTAGACACCAGAGGGGGTTAATTTCCAACATAGTATACTACTATAGACAGTAGCGTTTTAAAATTCGTCATTCAAGGAATCTGACTATTCTAGGACAGTTAACGTTGCCATAACCAAATAACCTACCTCCAATGCTGTTCCAGACGAGTTTCAATGCTCTTCTTAATCAAAAGCCCAATGTTTTCCGTAAGTAAGGCAAATTCCTCATTCATGATGCCATACTTTTGGAGGTTTAAAGCTTTTGTAGTTGAAAGACGTATGATTTGACAAGCAGGGTCTATATTTGGCCAACAATGCCCTAGCTTGACTGTGATATGTTTCATCACTTGCGCCTCCTCTGATGGGGAGATGCCGTCCCATTTGTTGCAAACAAACAAGGCACAGTTAGGAGAAAAATCCACTTGCTGATCAACTGTCAGTTTCCTGGTCTTGTCTAGAAGCTCCTGTAACTGATAACAAACAAAGTTTGAAGTTTGTTTAAAAATTAAGTTGTTTTAGAGCACTAATAGTCAAATGATCGAACAGGTTAGACGCATAAACGCTACTAGGTATTGCACGAGAGAATGAACTATTATCTCTAGGGTCAATTGCTAGACAAAACATGCGATACCGCGTAGCCTCTGTAGCGGGCGGGTTTAGGGGTGAGTGCTGTAGGCTTTTTGGCTACAGAGCTGCGTGAAGATTGGGAGAAAGTGAAATTGAAATCCCGCCTGCCCTATTTCTTTTGTATTTTGAATAGTCCAACAACCAGGCGTACGAGAGTTTCTGACTGGCTGAGAGGCGATAAAACGTCAGTCAAATTTTAATGTAAATTTCTAGACTCCCCCAAGAGAAAGTTGACCAAAGTTAGTGCTTTCACGTGCGAATAAAAAAAAAAATTAGCAAGCTAGCTAACAGGTTCCACTCCACCAAGGAATGGAACAGATCTGAAAATTTAAACACGTTTTGTGCTTTCCTTAATTCAGAAAGGGCTGAAACTAATCCCATTTTACGACATGAAATTGGCTCAAAAACAAAAGTGCACCAGACAATATTGCCTTTTGTCACGCAATGCAAACTCCCTGATCCATCCGAGCTCAACATCAAAGAGCGCTTGATCATTGATCAGCCATGAAACTGACACCTTAGAAAAGGGGGTGGATTATGCTGTGGAGGATTCTTCGTTTTGACTAAGAAAATATTATCTTTGCCGACTGAGAGGTCATGAGGTCGATGTGTTTCCTCTGCACTGATTTCATCTGGTTTTTGTCTCGGGCAGAATTTGACCTCTGAGGCAGTGTAGGGAATTCTTTGACCTCTTTTGAAGCGTTAAGCGTTATTAAATGGCCAGTTAATAAAGGTTTTAAGTTTTCAGTTTTCAGTAACTGCAGAATACCCTGCCTGGATCCTGCATTACTTGCTACATGTAGCTTTTTTGTCTGTGTCTTGATTCTGTGCTAATGTTTTTTCACGCTTGGCCTGGGTCGTTTACAAGTCATTTTTGCATAATAATTACACCGCTCTTCCTGATTGGGTAATCAAATAGTTCCAACCAAGGTGACAAAGTGGGCGGCATTCAAAACGCATGAGAAATCTGGAAGGCGGGATTTTCCTTCTCGGTTTCGCCGCTCTCTGCGCGTGGCGGGTCCGCCGCCAAGAAAGTACCCCGGCTCAAGAATCCCGCCAGCTACGCGGGATAATACCGCCGATCAAATCAGACTGAAAAGGAAAGGAGCCAACCCGAATGAAAGTTGCTACAGCTACGATGATCCCACGTTTATCTTTCGTTCTGTATTTTCTTCTTGCTCTTTTTGGGATCAGCTGGTCAGTATCCTTTTAAGCACCCCCTTTCTTTAAAGACTGTTTTGTTTCTCCGATAATTTTCTTCTTATTCCATTTCTCATGTTTTTCTCGTCTACCCGGTATTGTCTTGAAGCCACTTTTAGTGACAGTGAAGTGGCAGCGAGTGAGCATAACCTGGGATACAGTAAAAACCCGCATATAAGAACCTAGAATTTTGGAGTTCAGACTGAACAGGTTCTTATATTTTGGGGTATTTTTTCCAATAACAGGCTGATTAGGTTCTTAGTAGGTTCTTATTATTTTGCAAAAGTTATCTAGTGATAGCATTCGCGGAACTGCAATAGTACTAATATGCTATAATTGTTAAGCATTTACAAAAATGTCAAGCCTTGTTGTCGAAACAAGTCCTGTATCATGGTCCAAGAGAAAAGTCCTTTATTTTTTTATATTGTATTAAAAAAAACTGTTTTGATTTTTAAATGTACTGTACAGTTTTTGTGTTTGTTACTACAGCAAAGTTTTATGGAATGAGTAATATTTTTTTGGTAAGACTAAAAAGCAGTACACCACAAAAATTTTCACAATTAAAATCCAGAATTTGAACTTCAAATCTGGAGTGTTTTTTATATAAGAACCTATTTTTCTTTGTCAGGCTGAATAGGTTCTTATATATTTGGGTATTAAAATGCAAAATTTCAGCCTGTAGGTTCTTAAATCACTAGGTTCTTATACGCGGGTTTTTACTGTATAACTATCTTTACGGACAGGTGTCCGAAGCACAATCGGCCAGATATTAGTGTACTGCACAAAGACACACAGGAGTGGACACTTACCGACACTGCTGTGCCAGCAGACTAAAATATCCTTATTACTGAGCAGAAGATGAAGATGTAAAGGTATCAAAACCTAGCGCTCGAAATTAAAAGAATCCATAGAGTCACGAAAGAGACAGTAATATCCATCGTGACTGGTGCACTTGGAACTATCTCGAAGAATGCAAAGGCCTGGTGTGAGAGGTTTATTCTGCCTGACACTTTTGGAAGTGCACAGTTGTCAGATTGTCAGCCGTCCATGGTATTGCTCAAATCGTTTGGAAAGTGTTCTGTCTCTACGCTGCAGGTAGTTGCCGAGACATGGCTGAGATTACCACAGAAAATACCAGAGAACTAGTATAGAGAGGATCACACAACAGTAATAATGTAATCTTTCGACAGTGAGGTTTGAATGCCTAAAGAAAGATATTTTCATTTTCGGTGATACAAATTGTGACTAATTACCTGACGAGCCTGACGGTCACTCAATTGATTTACGAGCCAACCAGGATAACACCTTATGGTGAATCTCTAATTGATCATGTTCTTCAAGCGCCCCTGATAAGGTGGTGTATTCAGGAGTGATACAATTTGGTTAAAGTGACTATGAAATAATCTATCGACGAACTTCTGTCCCGACCAACGAGGGTCACAGATACATTCGCTGTCGCTCGAACAAACATTTTAATGAACAGGCATTAAAGACAGACTTAGCTAATGTAGTGTGCCTGGTCTAATTTAGCCGAGCACTTAAACGATCCTTACGTCATGTGGGAACAATAGAAATTAAATTATTTAAGTCCCCCTGGAGCAACCAAACGGTGTTCTCGAAACCGCGCCATGGCGACTATCTTAAAGGAACAGTATCCCGTCACTACGCATGCCCAAACTTTGATTTTTGGACAGGATGTCACGAAATCAAAACATGCGAGGAGAGTACAAAAACCTTGAAAAATCCGTTTGCATCGCGCTTGGCAGAGTTCAATACTACACTAAAACTTCTCAGGATCACAGATCAATGACATATTGTTCCCGTTATGTTTCGATTTGGGCGAAATCGGGATTTTTTGGCGTTACTATTATTGCCGTTGGCTGGAGGACCAAAAGATGGGAAGCTCTTTCATGCTGATTGAAGGCTTATTTCTTCTTCTAGCTTCCGTACGAGCTCAGATAATTGTGAAAGGAATATGCAGAAATGAAACTGCAACAACAAAGACTGTGAGAAAGAAACCATTGAGAAATTGGTGTGAATGAGGAGAACTTGTGGAATTAAGCTTCGTGAAGCAGAATGTTTTGCTACGATATGTTTGTAAACTTGTAAATAAACCTCCGTACGGCCGACTAAATCAAGCAAACAGGCGCTACATGTTTAGAAAAACTAGTGCCATGAAATCATAATATAATTTTTGACTAACCTTTGCAATGATTTACATCGTTGAGATTGCATTTTTATTTGTCTTTCAAAACGTTTGAGGCTAGAACGCGAGCAAATCAAATCAAATCCCAGGGAGACTTTTAAAAGAATGTACTTCTGAGATTGCTCCCTCGCCCACGCGTTTAATTAATCTATCTTTGCGTGTTGGCTGTGTCCCAAAGGATTCAAAGTGTGCAAACACTGTTCCTGTTTTTAAAAAAGGTAACAAAGAGGAGGTTATCAACTACAGACCCATTTCTTTATTAAGTCTTGTTTCCAAGATTGCTGAACGTTGTGTACTCGCCCATTTCTATTCTTTCATCGCTGGTAATATTTATCCGCTGCAGCATGGCTTTGTTAAGGGACGCTCAAATATCACCCAGCTTTTGGACACTGTGCATTGGACAACAAGCGCAATTGTCCAGAGTGTTCAAACTGACGTCGCTTTTTTAGACTCAGTCTCGCACCCCCACTTGATCAGCAAGTTAGATCATATTGGAATTAAAGGCCCTCTTCTGCGGTGGCTCACAAGTTATCTGGATAACAGGGTGCAGCGTGTGGTAATCGATGGCAAAAACTCTCTGTGGTTACCGGTCACCTCGGAAGTCCCGCAGGGCTCCCTGCCTGGTCCTGCTCTGTTTGTGTTATTCATCAATGACATGCCTTGTGCTGTGTCTCAGTGTAGCACATTGGCATTGTTTGCCGACGATGCCAAATGCTTCCGCACTATTAGATCTGCCACTCCTGAGTGACTGTGTGCTGTTTTAAGGTGATATTGATAACCTGGTTGACTGGAGTGATGTTTGGAAGATGGCTTTTAACATGGATAAAGGTTCGCTTTGCACGATAACGGGGAAGCGCAATCCAATAATTTATGATTACAATATGAGAGGGAAGGCACTTAAGAGAGTGGGGGCTCAGCGTGACCTTGGCGTTCTCATCACTTGTGATGCTCGATTTAATGAGCACATCTACGCCCAGGTGAACAAAGCTAATAAGATGTTAGGTTTTATCCGTTGTTTACTCAGCAGCAGGAGCGATCAGTTTCTGGCAACATTTAGATCTCTTTACGTGGCCCTGGTGCGTTCGCATTTTGAGTATGCCTCTGAAATCTGGAGTCCAAAGTCTGTCACCTTAATAAAGCTCCTGAAAGCTTATTGAGGGTGTCCAACGACGTGCTACGCGGCTTCTCCTACCTAATTTAACTTACAATGAACGCCTTCAGTAGCTCAATCTTCTCCCATTGGTGTACCAAATAGAAGGTAAAGACATAACAACATTTTATAAACTGAAGTGTGGTTACTATAGCTATTCAGTTGAAAGATATTTTGACTTTTGCTCAGACAAAAGATTAAGTCATATTCTAGTAATAAGTTAAAGATTAACAAAGTCAGAACCGAATTATTCAAAGGCACTTTTTTCGATACCAGATTTATGGAACAACCTGCCTGATAAAAACAGGACCTCTATTTTAAGCCTATCATTATTTAAAAAACAATGTAATGAGTTCTTTAAAAAGAAGAGCTTCGACCCTGACCACCCGCATGTCACTTGGATGTAGTGATCGATGTAACAATTATTTCTGATTAGATTAATCTAGGATATGACATCTTAGCAATTATAGTTTTTGCATTTAAGATATAATTTTAATTTTTTCTTTCTTCTTTTTCTTTATTTAAGTGTCTGTTATAGTTTTTGGGTGGACTAGCTCGAATGGTTCGTATGTTCCCTTCTAGTCCTTCCCCACTGCAATAATTTTTTTTCTAGTATGTAGTTAATTGTTCTCTGATGTAATTTAGCTAAGTTTTCCGTTTTTGCAGTGAAAATGGAATAAATTAAATTAAAATTAAATTAAATCAGGCAAACATTACTGGACTTGGAACAATTGACCTCTGACACGAGTTTCACATTAGAAAAGCTGTTTTTAAAGCGAGCGAAACGAGATTTTCGGGTCGCGAGGCGGCCCTAGCTGCTAGCTATAAAATCACGATGAGGTTTCGTGTCGCGAGCCAAATTTTAAATAAGACGAAAAACGTCTTGAAAAGTCTAAAATATTACTTGAGAATGTAAACAACAAACCTCCGTCGGCGGTGTGGTCCGGAAGGAAATCTTGTCAAATCAGTATGACAGTTCTGTTGTCTTTTGAAGAAAAAACAGATGACGCTCGCTTGTGGGCATAATCGGGACATTGTCCCTTTAAGAAAACTGCAATCAGAACTAACAATGAAAATTCTGGCCGTGCTACGTAAAATCAAAAAATGAAACGAATAAGTTGATAAAACTAACGAAAACCGAATATTATGAAAGTGAGATTGCTGATTGCCCCCGCAGGAATTTCGCCCAGAAGGCGAAATCCCGAGAAGGCACTCTTGTAACTCGCGCGTGTATTAAGGAAAGTACTTATACGTTGAAATATACAGTCATACAGTCAATATAGGGGCCGCTAGGAATCGGTAGGTAATGATGACGTTTCTATTGTTTGCGCCCGCAAGTATGAAATGGTTAGGATGACGTAAAGACAGAACATCCCCAAGAGACCGCTTAGATAGATTTTACGACATTTATTGTGAAGTCATACTTTGACACTCTTTTGCGTTATGTGTTATCTGTGACATTCTGTGGAGCAGTTGTTTCAGTGAAAGCTATGGACCAAGATTTTAACGACACTCGTTAAGCGCAGAGGAAGTTATAAGGTGCGTGTATTATTAACTGTGTATATATAAACGCTTGGAGAGTTTGCCAGACACGAGTTCATAAATCTTTCAGTGGAAACCTTGCCAGACACTCTCTCTCTTTGACCGGAATAAGACTGAGCCCCAAACAAGCAAGACGAGTGAACAACGGCTAGCTTCTCACTAGCAGAACTATGGACGATCACAGAAATTCGTAGACAATCAAATTCTGTGCTGACGTATTCCCTGCTCACAGATGTCCTTCCGCTATAAAGTTTAAAATAAGACTAGAATTGGCGAGTGTGAATTGATCAAACGTCCTTTTAATTTCTAAGGCTTCCTTTCCGGCAAATAAAATGAGCTGAATGTAAAAAGTGAAAGAGAGATTGCGAAAAATCCAACTTATGATTAAATCTTTCCTTATGGTTTAGAATAAACTATTCTCGAAACTGAGAATGTTTTGATCAAAGCTGTGTAAATCGACCTGATACAGAGCAGGGGCAGCTATAGTGTCAACTATTACTAGTAATAGTTCTGAACCTAGAGATAATTGGAGAGCAATAAATAAGGTGACAGGAAGAAAAATGAAAAATCAACGAGCCATGGAGTTGATTCACGAAAAACAAGATATAACAAACCCCTGAGGCATCACCAATGCTTTCAACGAATACTTTGTTAACATTAGCCCGAAGCTGGCTGAGCAAAACTGTAGACCCGACCAAGATCATTCAGATTTTGCTAAATATTTGCCTTCCTGTTCCACATCATTTTCGCCCTATTACACGACAGCAAAAATAGTGCCTAAACATGTACAACGTCTGTGTCTGACTCCAAGACCCCGTCCATCCTCCAAACAATGTACGTCTCTTTCATCCAGCCCTAACTTGATTATTGCAGCGTTGTTTGGGAGGGTCTGAGCTCAGGACTAGCTCTGAAGCTTTAAAAAGTCCAAGACCGCCCAGCTAGGGTCATAAGTTTTTCCAGTTACGACTCTAGCTCCGGCCCCCTTGAGAGCGTCAGTACACTGTAGATGACGATGACGAATACTTAATCCAATCAAGGGTAACTTGCCTTCGGTAGCCTTATTTTGTATGGCTGTTAAATCAAGCATAGTATCATCTGTCTCCCCAGAAGAAGAGTTCTCCCTCATCAACGGGAGGACTCGTTTGACTCGCGCGTCAACATGCTAATCCTTTGTTAAAAGGCAGCGTGGCCGAGTGGCCAGCGCGTCGGACTCGCAATCCGGCAGTCCCTGGTTCGAGTCTCGCTCTATCCACTTGCTGGATTTGTTCTCGGTTGTCCCGAGTTCAAATTCTCGGCCACGCTTGTAAATAGCCAAATGGTTGCCTTCTGCCAGTCCTGTTATGTTGTATTTGAATTGTTTGTTTTTACTTATTTGAGTAGAGTGCCTAAGCTAAGTGCACTTTGCACTATAAACAACTGAAGCCTTTAAAATTGTTTCAGTTAGGCAAGTCATGATTCCATATGCTCATTGCACGTCAAATTCTTTTGTCAGACCTTACACCACTTTTTCCGTACACGTTCTCAGCCAAGGACAACTTGAAACGGGTTCATGTATTTGTGTGGTTACTTTTAGCAAGAGCAGGAAACCCTTAGGGGACTTCAATTTATAAAAACACTTTCGTTGGATCTTCAAGTAGCATTAACGTTTGGTGATAATGTAAATTAAAATTAGGTCAATCAACAAAAATATAGCTGAAGTTGCGCTAGAAACAAAAAGTAAATCTCGAAAGCAACACCTAGACTAGAGTACAGACTCCCGTACAGCAGCTTTCTTTAGGTCTAATGTTTTAAGGTCTTTAAAACTAAAGGGACGGCCAACAAATGTGAAGTCCCCGTAAGTTGCAGTTGTCCAATGCCCTATATTAATATTCTTCATATTATGAACTAGTGTGCTCAGAATATTTGTTCGTTTGTAAACTACTGACACTTACCCGATCTTTCTGAACGCCGCCAGCCATTGTGCTGTTAATGACGTAAATAAAGGCAAAGGCATTTGGTAAATACTGGACAACAATATTATCCATGATATCTGACTCCCCAATACCAGGACTGTCAACGATTACTACTCCTGTCTGAAAAAAAAGAAATATAGCTGTGAAAGATTTGAACCCAGGAATCAATTCATAAGTAGGTAGAGCGTGATCGTTTGGGTGAGCGTAGTCCTGAATGGGACTGTTCTTGACAATGAGTGACGCTTCGGCATCCTGTGCGGTAGTCATCTTCAGAGTCAAAGTGAGTCAGTGTATCAAGTCAGTTGATGGTATTATACTCTGGTTTTTGAGTTGATTGGTTAATTAAGTCGCGATGTTATTGGTCGCTTGTCAGTTGAGCCGCGATGATATTGGTTATGAAGACTCTAAATGTCATTGGTGCGTTTCTATGCGTTCGTCTACCGTTAATACGAACAAACAACGTACGACTCTCTCTATTCCCCCCTCCCCTCTAAGATCTCCTCTCTCCTAACCCCTGCTGATACTCAGGTTAACTCGTGATAAGCACGTCCATGAATATTGTGGCCATATGTTAACCACGAGTGTACTACCGGGCAGCATTTCAAAGGACATCCAGCTGGTACCATGGTGGTGACTGGTTTAGTCGTGATCAGAAATCGATCAGTTTCTTTTAGTCTACGAATTGCAAATAACGAACACTGTACTATTACGTTCCGTCAACAGGATAGGATCCAGCTGCTTATATTTTCTTAGCTAAGACTGGAATGCTTCTCACCTTGAGCAAATCATGGTCCCAAAAAAGCTCCACCTTTTCGTACTGTGGAGCGCTTTCCCTTAAACTTGCTGATTTGGCATGAACAAATTTAGATATCTGATCCATGTAAGGAGATGACTCGTCCAGGTATATCTCCTCGACACCTCCTTCTTCTTGCTTGTAGTGTACCCTTATCTTCTTTTTTTGTCCATACTTAAGCTCGCAGATGGTAGACGTTGTGCTTAAAGCTGAGAATGGCAAAAGTTCTTCTCCCAGAATAAGGTTTAACATACTGCTTTTACCCGCGCTAGTTTCTCCTGAGATGAAAGATAAGCGGACAAATGGGACTAGATCAGGAACACGACTGTAAAAACTCTACAGACAAAAACAGTGTGTTTATGTAATCAAATGGTGATGAATCACAAATAAAATTATTTCCCAATATCGGCACGAAATAAAATTTGATCACCTATTAATATCATTGGTGATACGTTACGCTCACAATCGTGAGTTTTGACTCGTTCATTGTACGAGAACTCTGTTGTTGCTCAAATTTAATCTTTGGTTTGAAATTTTTCAAACTGGTTAGAAATTTTTCAACACATTAGTCGTTCTCATTTATTTGTACCTCTCCCTGTAAAATACTGTGTCAAATAAACTTGTGGCATCAAGGTGTCACATTTTAGTAACCGTTCATTTTAGCGATTAGGGTTAAGCGTTTATTTCAAATGGTTAGCTTTCATGTAAGGTTATGGCCACAGCACAGTTTCAGTGATTAAGATTGAGCGCTCATTTTAGTGATAAAGTAGGGTTAAGCGTTTATTTCAAATGGTTAGCTTTCATGTAAGGTTAGGGATAGTGGACACAGTTTAGCGAGTAGCGTTTGGCACCCAGTTTTGTGATTGCGGTTAAGTGCTTTGAATGAATGGTTTGAGGAGGGGTTAGTAAAACTAGCTATAGGAGGGGAAAGACAGAACAAGGAGGGAGGGGCGGTTGGTGAGATGCAAAAGAAATGTTGAAATGAAATTTGCTGATAAGTACTAATTCTTTTTAAGAACCCCCAAGAAAGCCAAGCCCTATTTTTTCAACCACACTCCAAAAAAGGAAAGGCCCTTTTTCAGACGTTGATAAAAGAACTGGTTTAAAAATTTTGAACCAGTTTAAAAATTTCGAGCCAGTTTGAAAAATTTAAACCGGTACAAAAAATTGGAAACCAAAGAAAAAATTTGAACCGCAACTCCACCCACTAAATCGTCCACAGCGCACATTTAGACGATTAATTTGGAGTCCACAATTTTCCGAATTTTATGAAAAACTACGAGAATCCTTGATATCCAGATTTATGCGCTCAACGTGCTAAGTTTTTCCTCCCAAGTCCGCGTGGACTTGTGGGAGGTGGCGTTCAACGATCTGAAACAGTTTGCGCGTGTAAAGCAAGTGCAAGTGAAAAGCAAGGCGCCCAAACATGAACCTTGAGGGACACCTTGTTTTAAAGGAAACTGATAGGAGAGACTACCATTTACGGAGACACGTTGGAACCAGTCAGATAGATACGATTTAAACCAGGAAAGCGCATTGTCAGTTATTCCTCAAATCAGACTCACCCCTACCAGTCAACTTATCATGATGTATTGTGTCAAAAGCGGCACTTAAATCTAATAACACGAGCAGGGTGACATGTTGCTCGTTCATAGACATCAAAATATCATTCTTAACTTTAATGATGCAGTGGATGGAGCATTAAAGGAAGAATTAGCTGGCAAAATATCGTGATTTGGCGAGAACTGGGAAGATATGTATTGGCGCCCCTTGGAATTGATACGTTCCTAAAACTGAGGCCTACGGTACATCAGAACGAGCAGAGTATTACTGTAGTCCAACGCCTTCGCGCGGTAAAACAGTTAGCACCAAAACCTTTTTAGCCGTGTAATTGAGATTGAGAAATATAATATAGAATGAATAAATTAAAAAATATATATAAAATAACACTTAGAAAGCACGGTTGCCTTTTTATGTAGAGGGGGATGAGGAAATAAAACATTGAAAAGCTGATATGTGCTTTCCCGTAAACTCAAAAGAATAAAGTATAATTTATTAATTAATTGCACAGCACTAGCATCTTGTATGGCTATAAATTAATGCTGATTTCTTTAATTTGTACTTGTAGAGAACTAGATTCAACGCACCTGCCACAAGAACCACGTATTCCTTGTTCTCTATTTCTTCCATTCTGCTTTTTATCTTCTCGAGAACATCTCCATCGCTTGTATTCAGCAGTTTTAGCAAGGTGTCATCAAGATCACGTATTACTTTTTCAACATCAGAATAAAACTCACTAAGTTTTAACGTCTTCTGCTTTTCCATTGCTTGTGCATCTGAAATAACCTGGAATGCCTGAAAAAGTTTTTTTTTTGCAAAAACCTTATGAAATAATACTACTTGCAATTAACGGAGAAAGATACCCAGTTTCATGAACCCTGATATTTGAGCCGGTAAACCTCTCAATAGCGCTTTGCACTATTACTGAAAATAGGTTTTGTCACCTTAGACCCCCTGCGTGACTCACACAAACTTTGCATTCTACTCAAAGGCTTTGAATGAGCAACATGCGTTTTCGACATAAAAATTGTTCGTAAAATTCGCAGGGAGAGTTTTTAAAATGTTTTTTGAACTTTATTCTAATACATAAAAGTTACTACTGTTATAGGTAGCAAACCCTGGTCCAGGTAACTCAAATAAATGATTAACATCAAAAAATAAAGCGATTTGATCAAAGAAGGCTACTGAAATCGAATCCTTAGCTCTGTCTTAGTCAGATAGCACTCTATGCACTGAAACATGACATAACATTATTTCTGGCTGTGTAATATTCCAAAACCGAAATTGCTAAAGAGTAAATCGAGTTTGTATGTGTTTCTCGCAAGCATGTGGCAAAATTTCTAAGCTGAAAGGCACACCAACAACAGCAGAAATCGGAAATTGTATAAGTTTGTTCTGTTGTTGTGCGGCCAGGCATAGATACTATAAGAATACAGTACTTAATATCCTGTAATACTAAGTAGCGGAAAATAAGCACTCGAAAACAAGAAAAAAAGTAACCTTTGCCTATAAATTTAACCAAATGCACCGTTTTATGAACACCTCTGACGCTCTGCTCTCCACACATTTCTTAGTAAAATGCCGTAACATAACTTAATGACACGGCATCAACCGGTTTTTTTTTTCATCTTTAACGTTGTCTTGGTACGCGTTAATTATATCTCCAGGATATATGCTATTGAAAACAAGCTAGATTTTGTTTCTATTGACGATAAAATCTTTCCCATACAAAACTCTTATACTGGTCGGGTTCAATGTCTGAGTCACAGCAGGGACCATAAATTTGTGACGTCATAAATGCAAAGCGCTATTTAAATGGCCTGGAAAGTGACCCCACTGACGTTTAAATTTTATTTTTTCATGACCGTGGAGGTAAAAAAAGGTATTATTAGTCTCGCTTGCGTAAGCAGCAAGACTCATAATACGAAGTCGTTTTTTTCTTCGTATTATTTTAGTACACAACAAGAACGCTCTTAGAGCGGAGTCTTGCTTGCTTTGAGAATAGATAGAAAAATGAGGAGGCGATTAATTCTACACGAAACAGGATTTACTCGCTAACCGTTTTTCACTCCCTACGTCTGGATATTTACTTTTTATTTCTTTCTGAGTCGAATTATTACGCGCACTAGCAACGACCGGAAATACGTCTTAGGTCGCAGGCTATATGCGTGTACAAGTACACGGAAATTCAAGGGCCTCCATTCCAGAGAATTTACATCATTGCCAGAGATCAAAACATACGCACTTTTAACGTGCATGAGCTATTTTGAAGGCTTCAGTGTCACCAAGAATGATGAATCTACCTTTTTCATCCAAAATATAGACTGTTTTTAATTGTGCGAAATTGGGTATTGCTGTGCATGAATGAGAACGCGAAACGCTCAGCTGAGTCGTTCCTCATTTAAATATTCACTTTCCTATGTTTTTCCCCGATACATCTGGTGCAAGTTAAACAAACTGTTAAAGTACAATAAATATCAACTCACTAAATGTTGACTAGAGGGAAAACTCGAAGGTTTCTTCGGAGATTTTCAAGAAAATGTTGTTCATCGAATATCGAAAAATTACGAAATATCAGGATTTTTATCATTGTAGTCGATGGTTGCATCATCATAATTCACGAGGTTTTCACGTGCGATTCTACTCAATAAAACAATCTTGAACTCTGACGACTTAATTCTTCATGTTTTAAAAGTTGCTGCGTCTTGAAAGACAAGAGCCTTTACTTATAGGGCATTGGTTACAAAACGAAACAGGTCTTCATACGTTCAAGTTACTATTATTACTGTAAAAAGCCAGTATGCAGGAGATGTACAGTCACACAGCTGGCACGTGAAAGTGTTGGACTTTGCCCCCTTTCGTGGTTCGTCAGGAGATAATTCGAATTATCACAACGTAATCTAATAAACAGAATTATAAAAATAACTCATGCACACGATTTGCAAGTGAAGATGTTGAACTTTGCCACTTTTACAATTTGTACATTGTACGTGAAAGAACGCGTATTGTTTACGAGATGACTTTGCTCAATAACATGAGACTAGTAGAAATCAGTATTTCGGCAATTTGACTAGCAATTTGACATAAATTCTGTTAGAGTATCAACCTTAACATTGAATGATGCTTAATTTTATTGCAGATGTTAGAAAAGGAGGTGATTTGTTCCACGCGCTCAGCGGGGCTGATCATGATATCAGCGGGCGTTTTTCTTGTAAAGGGAAACTTTTATGCTGGAAAACGTTCATAGACGCAGCAGTAGATACGATAACTGCTTTGAGAAAACCTTGAAATCACAGTACATCCGCCAGACGACATGTTGGCCCTTATGGAGAAGTTTATATGCTAGTTTTGTAAACCCGGAACCGATCTCGCAAGTCAAGGAACAAAGATGGCATATGTTCAGAAAAAATTAGGCAGAATCGGATAGGCCTCCACCAACACAAGGGGCACTTTACGAGGCAATTCTCCGCACCCACTATCAAATGATAGCTTTGAACAATGATAAAGTGTGCTGTCCTACTTTGCCACAGCCAGATGGATTCGGGTGGTAGAAGAGGGAGGATAAACTAGTGTATCCCCGTTATGACAAAAGAAGCACGTGCTCCTGAAGCAATCGTCCAATTGGCCAAATGCGGCTGTCAAAAGAACCGATGCTCAAACAGTCCATGCCACTGCCGGAAATAAGGCACCAATCTCAGTTCTTGCTGTGACAGTGATGATCCCTGTGAAAATGCCTGTGAAGATACTGTTACACTGAAAATTGAATACGACGACTCCGACAGTCAGCAGTAGAAAGATTAGAAAGACGAAATTTGTTGAAAAATATGACTTTCAATGAGTTTATGTGAAAAGGTATAAATGTTAGCACTCTTTAAGGACCACATTGTATTAAGTCTCTACTTTCGGTCACGTGATCACATAGAAGTGTCGCCATCAATTACTTATCAAGTAAGACATCTTAGACTATCGAAACTGATTTTAGTTTATACCCAAATTCCAATAACCGGCCATTTTTTAGTCGTTTTATTGTTCAGCCTCGTTCTCCTGCAAGGCAGTACAGTGCTTTTCTTTAACGCACGCTGGAAGTCCTCTGCACGCAATACAAAAGTGCCGACAACATTAAACATTTTCCTTAGGTCTCCCTTAACACTTCTGCACTGGTCCCTTGAAATCATCACAAAAATCTCACGCGAATACCATTGCTCCTAGACTACACGGTGTGGTGTTTCTATTCATTGCTAAAATTTAACATCCTAATTTTGAACATCATAAAAAAATCACGAAAATTTAACCAGTCTTATAGTTTTTTCTTATATATATACCCGGATTTTTGAAAACCGGGTTAGCAAAAATATCAACTTATTCTACTGCTTGGCAATTTAAAACAACAAAACTCATTCAAAGGCCGATTAAAAGCCTTTATATGACGCCAGGCAGTACGTTAATGGTCCCTAGAAGCACTCCAATAAGTCCAAATTTAAAATGACGCAAACTTTAGATCATTTATTCAGTAAACTGACTTCGCGAAGTTTCAAACGGATGTCATTTCAGTCTAGAAATTTTTAAGTTGAGTGAGCTGCAGCGAAAGAGTACCTGGTTAAGGCTTACGTAACAATTTAAATAGTTTGAAAAACACTACTTTTTTCCCGGTCCGATAAACAACAGGATTCCGCATGGAATAGACAACAAACTGAATGAAATATAGTGCACAAATTGTCACCTTCTTATCTGCAAAAATCGGCCTATGGTGCAATGCCATTAGAGCCCGCTGAAATTAGACATAGATCCAATTTTCCTGAGTCGAGAGGTTCTTTTCCAAGGTACAATCAGCTAAGCTAAACAACGACGAAACAATATTAATGGCTGGCACAGAATATTTTGGCGAAACCGAAGTTCAACCACGCGATCACATACCTGTCAGCACCATGCGGAAATCACACAATCACACACTTTCGCGGCACTGATAAGACTATTCACAACCACGCATAATCTTCTCACGTTTAACATAAGCGAAATATCATCGAATAACTCGGAAAAACTCAGCCTATTGCCAGATAAACACCTCTGGACTTTTCTCTCACACTCGTCTTATTCAAGTTCCCGGATGCAAAGTCACACGGTCGGCGGATCACCTAGTCTGGTCTCATCTTATCTCCAAGCAAGGTCGAGTCAACGCTTTTAGAGCGTATTGTTGATGATAAAGCTATATCATAACCGTTGGCAATGTTTTGTGGATCCGCGAGCCGTTCACCATGCCACGCATAGCCATCAGGATTCCTGAGTGCACGCCAGATTGCCCAGAACCGAAGGCTTTTTAAATTTTTTTCAAACCAAAGTTGCATCGCATTACCTATGACAAGCGGAAAAGATGAGAGACTTATAACAGTGGCCTTAAGGATTTGATACTCATATGGTATATCAGCCCGTTGTTTTGTGATGCGAGGGCAATTTTGTGGTTGAGGTTGCACACGGTAACCAGCCTTGCTTGGCACTATGCGGGAAAACAACACCCAACAAAACGAACCCCAAACCCCTAGAAAATGGCCACAGATTGAGCCCAGGTTACACAGAGAAAGCTCCCAATTTCTGGTAAGTAAAGTGTTTTTCTACATTTACACTTATATTATCTTTACGTTTGATAACTACGTTTTATTTTTCACACAAATCAGTAAACTGCATAAATCGCTCTTAAAATTAAAAGAATATGAAAATATGCGATAATTTATGCCCCGAGCTTGGGCTGCCTGTGCCTCTACTGAACTGTACTTTCCAGTTCACCGATCAGCGATGACATCATCGGCTACATCGGTGTCCACAGCTGTTTCAAAACACCTTCGTTTTTGGTCTCCTTGAAGTCTTTCAAACAAGTCTTTACACTCCAAGAAACGTTCTCATCATCGATATTTAGTACTCAAAGTTTACTTTTATATAAATCACAGAAATTATGTAAGGCCCTGTTCACACTATGCCAAATTTTGTTTGCTTTGCAAAATAATCTGTCGACAGGAAACCATTTCTAGTGAGAACAATTTGTTTTTCACCTACCAAAATTTTCTCAGGTGTCATCAAATTTCAAAGATGCCTTCGAGAAGATTTGATCGTTGCTGACAAGCACGTGTGATTGATGTGCATGCAATTATGCTGTACAGCGAGGATCGCGTGGAAATCACCATGGGGACGCTTCGAACGAAGAAATCAAACACACGACTTACACAATAGAAAGTTTATTTTCACGGCACTTAGTTATAAAACACGGAACAAAAATGATTTATTATTTATCCAAAGTCAGGCAACTTCAGAGCTCTACAACTTACTTGTCCAATCGGACAACTTGGATCATCTTTGTCCTTGTCCGAATGTAAAAGTTACCCGTCTCGGTTGTTCGGACTTGCCAAGTTTCTCGGCCTTCCCCTGAGAAACCACGTGGCGACGCCTTAATCTGTGCAAAGATGGCTGGTATCGTGAACAAGGTCTATTTCCGAGAAAATCATTCAGTTTGAGTGTTGGCTTATGCTCTTCCTCATTTACTGTGCTTTGTATTTGCTTTCTATGTACTTTCTATTAGCTCAAGCTATCATACTTTTCGCAACTCCCCCAAACGAGAGTTAGCTCTGTCAGTAAAATCACTCCAACATAGTGAAAATCGATCCAACATCTTTTATCTACCCACACCTTTTACTGGGGCATGTTTCTCAGAAATGTATTTCTCGTCATTGAACATACGCGATGAAGAAAGCATAATTATAGTATAAAGTAATACGTCGAACTGAATTATTTTAGATGTAAAAGTGTACAAACTTATGATGAAATATGTCTTTACTGACCCTAGCATCTAAACATCCAGACAATGTTCTCAATCGTAGTATTTTTTCTTTCCCCGTTTCTCTAGCACGCATACATCAAAATTTGTAAGGAAACAAGCTTCATGCATGAGATACACCGTTGTTCTGCTCCCCCAACGATACAAACAGGCCTCTGCGGCGGAAAGCTTTTATATTTTGTATATTTATATTTTTCATTTTTCATTAATTTAACACGGCTAAATTAACGAGAAATCGTCTCAAACTTATCTGTGCAAAAAGTAATCTGAAAGGACTTTTCATGAATTCACTGCATAATTATGGTGTTACGATTTATAATTATAAATACCTTATTTGGGTCCAGCTGGTGTTCACGGAATTCTAAGACCTTGCAAATTCGATCTCGCATCTGCTCAACATCTCTGCATCCTTTTGTTTCAATGTTGAGATTTCTCATCACGTCAATTAACTCTGCAATATCGTCTGTTTCGATGAGCTTGAGTCGAATGGATTCCATTCTTGCGTGCGTTGTCGAAGCTGAAATTTGCCGTCTGTACTCTTTGAACTGTTGATAGTTGAATCTAAGTTAAAAGACGAGAACAAATTTTACTTGAAGGGACGTACCTCCCGGAACACCCTTAATTACAAAAAAATAGGCAAAGAAAATTACAAAACCAAAAAATCCCTAAAATATCATCAATGAATCAATAAATATAAGGGGTTTAATTAAGAATTGCAGTAGCAGGAGAATAGTGCAAAGTAACAGGAGCATATTTTGAAAGAGCGAAGCCCTTTCCCGGAAAGAGCTTGAAACTGAGCCTGGAAATTTTGAGTTTTCAACCCTGAGATGGCTTTTCCCACTGTCTGATAGCAAATTTTATTTCTCGTAGCTGCCTCAGGGAACAAAAAACACTGCATACCTCTACATGGTTTCAAAACATTTTTTCCTTGAATTAACAGGCATATTGTTAAATTATGATCGATTTCTAACCCTGACACACACTCCTAGCGTTGGGACATGTGGCTCTATCTTATTAAATACCAAACAAACCGCAAAGAGTGAAAATAAAATAATTTTGTTTGTTTTCACACGACGTCACGGCGGCCATGTTGGTGTCCCAAACCAATCCTGTGGGAGTTGAACTCTTTTATTATGCAAACGCTTTTTTGTTCCAATAAATTTGCATAGATGCTGGTCTCGTGAGTGAAAACGCTCTAATTTTAGGCTTTAACTTCAATTCAATATTCTAAAGAATTTTCAATAGTTAAAGCACGAAACGTGAGAAGCTCTTCCCGCCTCTGTCGGCGACAGGTGCCAGCGCTAGACGGAACATATTTAAACAAATTCGCTAAGAGCGCAAAACTTTGCGTGTTTAGTTTAATAGACGATTTGTCGAATATCGATGAATATCTCTTTTCTGAAAACGTCACAGGTGATCAAACAACGTGAAATGAAGCCCTTTAGTTGCGATATTTCGATTGGCCAATACAAGTCTTCATCAGGTTTATTGAGATATCACGAATTCACAGAAATATGTATGAAGTAAAATAATGACCGGAAATTATATAATATGACGTGGTATGGTGTGGCTACGTTAAAGTGCCCATCACCTAAAATTTTATATTTCTTATCTGAAACTACACCTTATCAAAATAACTTCTGCGAAAAAATTTTGCGATTTGAACCGAAGATGATTTTTTTAGAATTTTTTAAAAACGTTCAAATTTGCCGCCATTTTGACACACCATTCGTCTTAGTCTTCTCTCGGCCTATGACGTACTTTAAGGAACACGTGACCTTATCGACAGGAAAACATTAAGAGTTCTGATAGGTTTTTCTTTTTCAGAAAAACTTTCTTCCTACGAAGACATTGTGATTCAATCCTTACTTGAAATTTATCTTTTTTGTGTACAGCTGGTGAAGGCAAGGTAATGCGAGTTCCTTAATTTACGTCACATGACTTTATATGTGAGCTTGCTAGTTTGCATGATAAGCGGCGCGAGTGTACCGCAAAAATGTAGACTTCAAAAATTGGTAAAAAAATCGCGTTTTGTTCAAACCGCAAAATTTTTCGGCAGAAGTTATTTTAATAAGGTATAGCTTCAGATAAGAAAATAAAAAATTTTAGGTGATGGGCACTTTAAAAGACAAGATAACAAAAGAATAAAAGATATACTATATATAGTTACAGTTTATCATCACGTTTATTGATGCCCAGAGGCTCAATTGTCTTAGCTTTATGGATAAGGTGGGCTTCACGTGCTTTCCTGAAAGAATCAAGCCCATTTTTAAGTTTTTCAATAGGAATCAAAAGCATATGATTGTCGGAATGATTACTGGTTAGAAAGTGTTCTGAAACTGCAGTATGGATGTATTTACCAGTAGGGTTGAGTATAGGTCGTCTGTTTTCATTAAAGCGGTCTTTGAGGCCGACGTTTAGTTTCTCAAATATGTTGTAGATTACACAGGCGACATTGAACCAAATAGATAACATTAAAAGTTTCACCAGTGATATGAGATTTGATGTGGCGGGTCTCACCTGTAGCATGAAAAGTGTATTGATTACGGCCATGTTCAATATAGGGACAGGTGGTGCAATTCCTGTTGCTGCACGGAAAGGAACCCGGGGCTGGGTCGGGAGTTACTGGTGTCGGTGCTGTTAGTATGCTGGGCTCTAACGAGGATTTCTCTAATATTTTTACAACGGCGATAAGCTACTAACGGACGGTTTTTAAAAACATTTCTACAACGATCTGATGAGTATAGCACGTTAGACTGCTTGTGAATGATATGCGCAAGGTTGGAGTATAAGAAATGACGAAAGGGGTGTTTTCAGTCTGAGTCTTGGGTATGTTTGTAAGTGCGTCAGTGCGAAGAATGTCGGAAGCTCGTTGTATTTGGATCTTAAGGCCCGGTTCAGGCGCCGTACTTTTTATGAGCCAAACCTAATTCGAATTAAGACCGACCCAAATTAGGGCGTCGATAAAACCAGGAACACGGAACATTCTGGAACATACCGGAACATCCCGGAACATGAAAAAATAAAATATTATTTTCATAAAAAAATAATTAAATGAAATAATGATAATAACATAGTTTTTGTAAAAATTAATAATAACAAAATAGCATGAAATAACAGAAAAAAGAAACTGGTATCTGTTCATCTAGGAGTATGAGAAAACAATATTTTGTCGCAATTAATTTGTTGGGCGAGTGAGGGTCCATACAAATGATAGCAATGAATGAAGGCTTGCTTCTAAATTCAAAATATATTGAAATGGGTCGCGAGGAGGGGGGTTTTCCTCACAGAGCCACCTCTTGTAATTGTTTGCCATGAGTTAATCATTTGGCGGTTATCCATTTAAGGCTCTGCCATGGTCTGAAATGTCGGTGCAGTATTTCATGTCAAGCTAAGTCGGTAAGTAGCTGGTGTCAAGCCAACATATAGTCTCCCTATATAACCTACATTTGCTTACTTGAGGTGCTTTGCTTTCTTGAGGTTGACATGAATTACTTACAGACAGGAGCCGATTGACTAGGTTGAGGATGGTGATCGCCGCTGTTAAAGTGATTTAACTTGAGCGTCCCCTGTGACGTTGCGTTTTTTTTTTTGTAATTATGTGGGATGAACAGTCAACATAAGGATTTAGTTTAAGAAAGTCTAGTCGCCGAGAATAGCTGCTCATTAGTGTTTCCAAAATGAAAGCTTGTTCACTAAAATCCAGTAACGTCACAAAATTCAAAGCAACAAACACGTTGGCAAAGCATTCGAATTTAAGCACCAACCTCGCTCTCACCAGTTTTGTCGTCAGAGGATATCCAAATCACTTTGACAGCGGCGATCACCATCTTCAACTTGGCGGAAGAAAACAGGGGACTGTGGCTTGAATTGCAGCCATCTCCTCGAGTCGCAAACTTCACTTGCGACTCGGGATGGAGACGGCTACAATTCAGGCCAATTGATAACAGTTAGAAACTACCGCTGCGCTACCACTGCCACTGCCACTACTCGCGGCAAATGTGAATCTTATCCACTAAAGTCCAAAGCGACGAGCACCTAAGCTCTTCTTACGGTCGCAAAGCCGTAAATGGATAACCGTCAAACCGCATGGCAAACAATGCAAGAGGTGGCTGCGTGAGAAAAGCTTGAAAACCCTCCTCCTCGCGACCCATTTTAATATTTTTTGAATTTAGAAGCAAGCCTTCACTAATTAATATCATTTGCATGGACCCTCACTCGCCCAACAAATTATTTGCGACAAAATATTGTTTTCTCATACTCGTAGATCATACGAGTTTCTTCGTTTTTATTTCTTTCTTTTTCTTTTCTTTTTTTTTTCGTTATTTTACGTTATTATTAATTTTTACAAAAATCATTTTATTATTATTTTTCTTTTTTTCATGATTTTTTATTTTTTTATTTTTTCATGTTCCGGGATGTTCCGGGATTTTCCGCAATGTTCTGGCTGCGGAATATTCCGTGTTCCGAGTTTTATCGACGCCCCCCAAATTATTTGGACGGGCTGAATTGATTCATACGCCGATCTTAATTCCAGCCGAAATAAACATGCTCATTTCGGTCAAACTGCTTAGAAATAATAATTTATGCATTAGCTTCGGCGTCTGAATCGAAGCCGTTCCAAAGTCTTTCCAAAGGCGAAATTCCCGGCCAGGCTTGGCGAAAAGAACGGCTGAGCCGTTCCAAATTGAAACAAGCGTTCCTAATTGATTCAGACGCCGAACTTTTCATGTACTTAATTCAATGTACTAGGTTCGGCTCATGAAAAGTTCGGCGTCTGAACCGGGCCTAAGAAAGGTTTTGTCGTAACCGCGATTAGCAAGATAATCTATAAGTTCGTTAGTACGTAGTTTGTAATTGTCTGGGTTAGCGCAAATGCGACGCAGGCGAAGTGCGAGGCTAAAAGGAATAGCACGTTTGGTATGTTGAGGGTGACAGGATGAAACTAGCAAATACTCCTCTCTGTTTCCTCTGCAGTTACAATTCATAATGTGCCGTTTTAGAAGTCATCGTTAAGATAGAAAAATCTCAAAATTTGCATTTACTCCATAGTAATTTGATACTCTGTCATTTATATACGGTAAACATCGCCAAATTTATTGCCATAGCAGTTCACAAAGAAATCGTTCTCTTTATCCATAAAGGTGCTTGATTCTTATTGCTTAAAACTTTTCTTGACGTAATTTTGCCTCAATGATTTGAATATTTATTCGTTTAATAATTTTTCGTGAGCAAGTAAAAAAGCGTCGAGCATACAATCAACTCTCCACGCTTCAGCAAACCGTCTAACATTTTACATGTCCCCAGTTAGTCTTGTTGGGCTCAAAACTGCTAGAATTTAAGTACGGTATTTCATGTATTTGTTATATATTTATGAATGTAAAGCAAGTGACTAAGCGCTGAAATAACTCAATTCTATGGCTGAGAATCAAATAGACCTGTTGGCGATAACAGAAACTTGGCTAGACTTGAATAATCAACAGACGGCGAACATTATAAGTGAACTCTGTCCTCCAGGGTTTGCGTTTATGCATATTCCTCGAATGAATAATTATGGTGGTGGTGTTGGTCTACTGTACAATAAATGATACAAGATCGAGAAACAATATGTGACCAGCTTCTTATCTTTTGAATACATGGAAGTCTTGCTAAGAACACCTGCTACTGTTCTTAGAATTGGTGTACTTTATCGGCCCCCGCCGTCTACCGAGAATGGACGCACTGCGACTATGTTTTTCAAAGAATTTACTATTTTGCTTGAGCGTTTAGCGGTAGCTAGTGGTCATCTTTTATTGATGGAAGATTCAGTTTTCATGTTGATGATCGCACCGATAGTCTGGCCTCCAGGTTTTTGGATTTACTTGACTCTCATAATTTAATTCAACATGTTTCTGGCCCTACTCATAAGGATAAGCACACACTAGATTTGATGATCACTCGAGCGTACGAGGACGTTATTGAGAGTTGGTCAACCTTGAATCCTCATTTGTCTGACCACTCAGCTATCCATTCAAAACTATCACTTGCCAGGCCACGTCCACCAAAAGTTAAAAAACAATATCGGAAAATTCGTGGTGTTGATCCAATTGAATTTCGCAACGATGTCATGGCTTCCACACTTTTCTCCTCACCTGCATGCAATGTGAATGATTTATGTGATCAATATGATAGTGAATTGATTAAGGTTGTTGATGTACATGCTCCATTGAAAACAAGCTTTGTAACCTCTCGTCCATCTGCGCAGGGGTATAGTGAGGAAATTGCCGCAGAAAAACGCAAACGTCGTAAATTGGAAAGGCGTCGGCGTAAGTCTGGAACTGAAGCAGATAAGCTGCAATATGCCGGTCAGTTTAGTAGAGTTCGTAAGCTCTTGAAATCTTCAAAGATGAGTTATTACGCTTCGCTTATTAATGAAAATAAATCGGATTCCAAAGTTTTATTTAACACCATAGACCGTATGCTGCATCGTACGCCTCAAAACCACTATCCATCCTGTGACTCTCCAAAGGAATTATGTGATAAGTTCGCTGACTTTTTCTGTGAAACAGTTCTGACAATCAGGCATCAACTGGATACGTTATCTACTTCTGATGCTCCTGTTTTTCCATTGATTGATGACGCCATAATTATATGTGAATTAGGCGAATTTTCTCCCAGCTCAGAGGATGAACTTTCTGGTCTCGTGAAAAAAATCGCCGCCAAATCGTGTTCTCTTGATCCTATACCTGCTCCTCTTTTACTTTATTGTATCGATGATTTACTACCTATTACTAAAAGAGTCGTAAACCTTTCATTCAATTCAGCTTCAATGGCAAGTTCCATGAAGACTGCAGTGTTGTCTCCTCTGCTGAAGAAACCGTCCGTAGACTTTGAAATCTTCTCTAACTTTCGACCTGTATCTAACCTAAAGTTTTTGTCTAAAGTTATTGAAAAAGTTGCAGCCATGCGTCTGACGAATTATTTGTGTGATAATGATCTGAATGAAAGTCTCCAGTCTGTTTATAAGAAACACAACAGTTGTGAGACAGCCCTTCTACGTATTCAGAATGATATACTGAAATCAATTGATGATAAACAATGCGTCGTTCTCTTGCTGCTAGACCTATCAGCAGCCTTCGACAAAGTCAATAATAAGATCTTGTTACACAAACTGCGATCCAGGTTTGGTATAAAAGGAAAAGCGCTTTCGTGGCTTCAGTCTTATCTTACGGATCCTTCCCAGTCAGTTCAGATTGATGGATTTACCTCTTCAGTTCGTCCCCTCAGATTTGGTGTACCCCAGGGGTCCGTGTTGGGTCCGTTGCTGCATCTGTTGTACACGGCCCCACTAGGTGACCTAATACGAAGGCATGATCTGGACTTCCATCTATATGCTGATGATACTCAACTGTACACCACCTTCAGTTGCGATGATAAGGATGATCTTACCACTAAAATTTCCCCGATTTGAAAGCTGTCTTGTCGATATCACCAACTGGATGACTGCTAACAAACTGAAACTAAATACTGACAAAACGGAACTTCTCATTCTCTATTCTAGGTTTAGACGGCCCCCAAGGCTACCGTCTATTAAAATAAGAACTAATATCCTCAAGCCTACAAATAAGGCGCGTAATATCGGCGTCATTTTCGATAACACCGTAACGATATCTTTTCTTATTAACAACATAGTTAAAGTGGCATTCTACCACCTTAGAAATATAGCTAAGATTCGTAAGTATATCAATGTCACAACGGCTGAAGTTCTTGTGCACGCATTCATAAATTCGAAGCTGGATTTCTGCAACTCGCTTTTACATGGTCTTCCCAAGTATGAAATTAACAAACTGCAGAGTGTCCAAAACGCTGCAGCGCGTGTGATTGCCTGCTTGCGTAAGTTTGATCACATAAGTGATACTCTAAAGGAGTCGCACTGGCTACCAGTGGAGCAGAGAATAATGTTTAAGATTAATGTTATTTATTTTAAGATACTCAAAAATTTAGCTCCTGATTATTTGATTGACCTAATCCATGTTTATGGACCTGCGAGGTACCTTCGCTCATCTTCAGACAAGTGGCGTCTTGTTATTAAATCCTATAACTTAAAGACATACGGTTTAAGGGCTTTTTCAGTCATTGCCCCTATACTTTGGAACGATTTGCCTATTGACATTAGATCGCCTGATGATGTAAATAACGTTAAATCTACATTGAAGACCTTTCCTTATAAGCGAGTTTACGAACTATCTTAGGTTTTTTATTTTGTATTTTTGTGCCTAGTAGACGGAGAATCCTCCGATCTTCGATGCTTAATGAAACCCCTGTTATCTTTCTGTAACTGGAAAACGGAGATTGGGTCAGATTGACGAATTAACCCAACTTAATTAACGACTTCCGAAGATTTTAAGAAAGTAGTCTGTTGCCTTTATACGAGTACTTACTAGCTTTTTCGTCTGAAATATGGCTGAAAGAGCCCTTATTATGTGCTAAGTCTGTTCTCACTATGCGATTGGTCAATTTGTGGTCCATAACTTACTCTACGGACCAAAATTCTTAACTTAAATGGCCATTTTGCAGCTCTAAATCTTTCTATCTCGAAGAAATGATGAGTGAAGAAAGTTAAAATATGTCTGTAAACCCTGAGACCTCGCCCCTTCAAATTTTAACCTAGCTTTGTTTTAACGAGAACGAAGTTGATGAAGAAACTGAATCGTAAACTTACCGAGACTGAGAGAATTCTAGTCAGTCTTTGAAATCTTAACGCAGATCACAACTGAAAAGACGAGAATGAACTGGTAGGGATTCGAGATGCTTTGCCAAAGAAAGGTAACGAGCGAATCCTTCGACAATCACAACAAACTTACCTTGAACAGTTTCTTTGTCGTTTTCAGTGCTTTTTTTTCACAAAGACCGACGGAAGCTAGGAAAGATGGAAGAAACTTCGACACAGACACAGTGTCCGGTTTCCAAAATACTCCAGCGCTATATTAGCGAGATAAAACTTTCAATGCGCTTTAATAGTTTGACAGAATATACGTTTTCAACATGGCGTATTTGTTTTCACTTTCTCGGAAAGCTTTTGTTATGTGCTATTGTTTTCGTAAGCCAATAAAAACTTTCTTTTATTGACGCCCGTCAAACGATTGTCAATTCTGTCAAATCTCGCGTCCTGCACTTGTTTCCGGTCTCCCGGTTCCGGTTGACCTACCACTAGACTATATGTTGTAGCGCACTAGTAGTGAAAAGCGCCTGCTTTGAAAACCAAAATAATAGCGGCTGAATCGCGTTTTGCTAATTAAAGTTGTTTTGTCTCGATATTTTTGACCAACTACTTGGATTTTACGAAAATAATTATTCCTCTCGCCCTCATGGCCTCTGAGTCAAGAGCCCATTCGGCCTTCGGCCTCATGGGCTATCGAGTCAGAGCCCATTTGGGCTCGAGGATTAATTGTTAAATATACAATTTACTTGTTTTGATTCTTGTCTTGTTTTCTTTGATTTTGTTGTTTCTCTTTGATTAAAAAGATAATAAAATAATAATAATAAAAATATTTATACAGCGCCTATACTTTTCAGAGCTAAGCGCTTTACAACGCTTCATAAAAAGGTCTGGATAAAAAATAAAAATCCTAAAATCATTTACATATGTAAGAAGAGAAATATTTTTTGTTTTAGAGTTTCATTTTGATTTTTCCGCTTATCTTTGATTTCCAAAATTTATTGCGCATGCTTTAATTTCTCAAACGGCGTTTTTGATTTTCAAAATTAGATAGATACGGATGTTACCCACGTGAGAACTTTAGAAGTGGGTGGTCAGGAATACTCAAGGCCAGGACACTCATACATATATCATGGCCGAACGAGACAGAGAGGGTGTTTTCCAAGTAAGCTGTCTCAACAACCATCAGAGCAGTCGCATAGACTGTTAAAACAAAAAGTATTTATTCCAGCGGAGGGACTACAGGACATCGCATTTCATCCAGTCCAAAGGATCACTAATTTCGACAAAACATCATACCTGAGGGGTGCACTCAAGAAAAGTTTGGGTAAAGTTTTGCCTCCAAGGCCTTCAAATCCAGACTTAAGAAAACGGACCATGTATATTAGAACGCTGATTTGTTTTGTTTTGCATACAGAACTAAGTAATTGGATTTTTTGGTTAAAAATTGTTGGTACCACAAATATAGACAGTTTATATCTAACCTTCACACTTTTGTAAAGGATTCCGCGCTCCAAGACCCTAAAACCCATGTCCTGCTCAGGGGCACATTGTCGTCAAGGCCAAATAAGGGTGTGCCCCCTTCCAGGAAACACCTACAGAACAAAGAATTATCCACGCAATATACAGTGACGGGTCCAGGGGAGGGGCCGGGGGGCCTCCCCCTAATTTTTAGACCAAAATGAGGTCTGAAGGGCCGAATAACATTTTTTGGAGACCGGGCCCCCTTTATCTCAGGGTCTGGATGACCGGGCTCCCCCACCCTCCTATCTCAAGGTCTGGATCCGGCACTGATGCGTATATAATCTACCGCTCGAAAGAAAAAAACAAACAAACAAAAATGAAACACTAAAACTAAGAATATTTTTTCTTTTTAATCAAACTGACAAAATATCAAAGTAAAAGACAATGCAACAAAACAAGAATCAAAATAAGTGAACTTTATAAGTCTCCTCAAACACGGTTGGCATCAAATCGGCAAGATATTAGTTTAGAAGCTATTTTATTTTTGGTTTATTATTGTTTTTTCTTGACTTCAGTAGCGGCTCTTTCAGCTATATTTCAGACCAAAAGGCTAGCAAGTATTCGTATAAGAGCAACGGCATACTTCCTTAAAATCTTCAGAAGTCGTTATAAGTAGCGTGAATTCGTCAATCTGACCCAATCTCCGTTTTTCAGTTACACGTGAACGATATTTATTGATTCATTGATGATTTTTTCGGTGTTATTTGGTTTTGAATTATTATTTTCTGCCTAATTTTGTGTTCTTCTGGGGGTGTCCATCCCGTCAGGGGGGTGTTCCGGGGTATTCCGGGGAGTCCTGAGGGTGTTCCGGGGGGTTCCGGCTTTTACAGACACCTGTGGTCTGACTAATATGTTGGAAAGTGGGACGAGAGCAAGAAATTCAGACTGCCGATGAATTCTTTCAAAGTCTGTTTAGTCCAACGAATTGTGACTAAAAACTCTTGTTGGTCCGTTTGCCAAAGAACTTGAAAATCTTATGTTTTCAGCTGCAATCGTTGTGATTGGACAATCTTCTTCCAAGTGCCTCGGTTTGAGTAGTCGCACTACAATCGTACCTTCTACATTGTTTCCAAACTTTACCATCCTGTTCATGTCAAGACATCATCAGTGCCAGTGTCTCATGGCAATCCATATACAATACGTCCGGTCCTGGCGTGAATATTTCCAGGTTTTTTTTATGTGCTTCTTTTTACGCGATTCCTAAGCTATCACATCGTTTTTCGTTCGTCTCTCCATCGTTGTACATGTCCAAGAAGGATCAACAAGAACACCACAAATGCAAGGAGAGGGATGTAGTGCGGTGTGCCCAGCTGTGGCTGATCAATCCAATATGGGAGCAGAAGGGTCTATCGCATTCCGGGCACTGGTGAGTTTCTTGGGCAGTCATGGCAAGGACATTACTTCAGCTTTAAAGCAGCTCGCGTCTTTTCTGAGATTCTGCTATTCTGTTCTGCTTGAAGAGGACATTACCTTGTAGATTTTGCTGGGCAGGCTGGTCGGCTAAGTGCCAGTGTCTTCCAGGTTTCGACATCAATATGTAACTGATGTAAGTATTAACTACATGTAGAAGTCTTTCAGTTGCTTCCCCAGGGAAAAACTACGTGGGTCGGAGTAAACTTAGCTTGCGGGCAAAGTGTTTCGCAATATTTGAAGCATGATATGACTAGCACTGGGGCGTACCGTCTTTTACGCAACTACGCATGTGCGCACTTAAAAGATTTAAGTTATAAGTAAAAGCCATTTGTAATGTCGTGACTTGACCTTGTATAGTGCAGATTTGATCCTGTCTATCTCGCTGTTATTCCGCATCTTTTGTACACGAAAAATACAACAGTTTGAGTAGTGGAATGTGATAAATTCCAAACATTTTCGAAATGTTTGCCGTCAGGCGATCCCACACTGCATTGCGTTTTAATGAAAAAGGAAGGAGGACTGGGGGAATTAATGTAAACACATTTGTCACCACAAAGAATCGATCCTGACTGATTATCATTCCTTCCAAGATTTATCTGGAAAGTTTTCCCATTCAAAACTTATTCATTTTTTAGTTTTCCCTCAGTATGTAAATGTCGAAAAAGTTTATCAAAGGCTACATTAATGTCGCTCAACTAGGAAATCATGGATCCGACCATGCCGACCATAATCAAGGTATAAAGCTGAAGCAAACTATTAGGTGCACGTGTGGCGCGGTATGAACAAGAATTTTGCAGGAAATTTACTCCTAACACAGACGTAGTATTGTTTTCAATGACAAACATCAGAGATATTCACTGGAACAACTGAAAATAAATAAATATACGCTGACTATAATTGTTTGTTCCTTTCCCGTGCTAGTGATCGAAATAAAGGAAGAACTCAAAAGTCAGCAAAGGACTGAGCGTGCGCAAAGTTTACACAATCACGCACACTCAGCAATTCTTCCAACCGATGCTTTAAAACTCTAAATTTCTGCACAGGTTACGCCTTACGAGTGGTCATTTTTCTTGAGCGACAAGCGATATTCATTTAGAGCTTATCTTTCATTCCTAACATATAAAATGTTTTGCTAAATTTTCTTTTAGCATTTGAAAGAAACATCTTATATGAATTTCCTGTGAATTATTCAGCGCTTTGGAAGTTAATTAAGGTGAGGCCCCTCGCCTTGTGCGTGAAAACATTCTAGTACCAGCTCAAAGAAGAACATTTTAAAAGCTTTTTTAATATCACGTTCTATCGTAAACAAGCCTGTAAACTGCCAATGCACTGTTCTGGGTGTGGTACTAGTAGATTTCTGTTGCACAATTTCACTTGGCTAGAAAATTCATTAGTGTGGTTGGTTCCTGCAACAAAGAATAACGCTGTGTCGTCTGCATACAATGGGTAACCTTCAAGAGAGAATAATTCTGTCTTGGTAACCTTCTACAACGACAATTCACCAATTTGGCTCTTAAAGTGCTTCCCTGCTGCTAAAACACCTTTGCACATTATGAGCATTGCATGAAAAGCGAATAACATGTAAGATGATGAACTCAGCTTATCGCTTTTCAAAGAAATAAGAAACGTTTGCTATCTTTTGTGTTCTGGCTGTTTTGAAGCGATTTGGGCTAGTTTTGCGGTCCTGTCTTATTTTTTATTTGCTACACGCAATAAGCTAAGGCGATGATTTGTTTTCATCACCAAGTTACGCAGTATATTACAATTGCGTTTGGGATGCCTGTCTGTGTGTTTGAGTGAGTCTAAGTTATATTTACAGGTGGCTTGATTGCCTGTAGTGAGTCAGCTAAGGGAAATTAACTTTCGTATGACGTAAGTGTAAAACATATTACCGGATAAGACAGTGTAAAAGAATTTTGGCGAGCTTTCTAGCATTACTCCAGCAGTTTATTTCCTTTAACATGTCGTAGTAACATTACTGCCAAACTATCATTTTCTTATAACCATTTTTTGTTGACACAGGACGTTATCCAGTATTCATAAAATATTGAAGTTACCCGAAGACTCACTAAATAGGAGGGCAATTTTTCTTCCGTGAACCACCAATTGAAACTGCGTACTAATCTATGATTTGCAGCGTTAGGATTATACGCCCCACTGAGATGATGAGTCGCAAAACATCTCTTATAAGAGTTCCTGTTAAGTTCTGTTAATAGTAGATATGTGCGTTAGCCGATATCAATCGTGAACCCTGGGCGACGTTCGAACTTTGTCGATAGTTCAGTAATGTTTGCCATTCCTGTCTTAGTCTTTATCATCCCTTCCGTTGCAAGTTGCGAAGAACCAAGCGTCGTCAGTCCCAAATGCTCGGTTACTAGGACTTGCATTTCTAGTACAAGATGTTCAAAACCTTGGAGAATGCATTGGTATCTGCAACAAGCAAACACAGTTCAGATGCGTAAACTTCGACTGGGCTAATTTTCTGTGTGAGTTAAACAAAGCTGATGTCCATATTGCTCCTCAAAATCTTATGACTGCCAAAGGATATGTGTACTTGGATAATCCATGGCCAAAATTTCATCTGGTAAGCTAGCCTACCTTGAAGTATTCCTTAAATTTAACCAGTATGTGGAAAGGGAAAGAAAAAAAGCTAACATACACATCAAGAGCAAAAAAGATTTAATTAGTAATATTGTTACCTTTCTAGTTCAAATCTGATTCCGTGTCTTCCGTGAAATTTTATTTCGATACCAGGCAAGAGTCTGACAAAACTATTATTTTAATGTTGAAAGAAATAAACAAAAACAAAACAAACCAAAAGAACTGAAGTTTGAACGTGATGTTTTCCCACTACCCACCTCAACCAGCTCGGTTTTGCTACCCGTGGGTAGTGATAAAACTATATGATTAATTTGACCAATACAGTGACTGAATATTAAATGAATGATCCAACGTCGGAGGGACGACACGCATCCTACGTTTCAAATTCGCTAGAAAAAAAAACAAGGAATGTTCTAATTTTAGCTTGTAGGCGTATTGAAAATGGTTAATATGTTGCTAGTAATGATCCCGAGACACAAAGCAAATGCCCTTATGAATGAAGAAATAAAAGAAGAGGATAAAATAAGAGTAATCACGTTTTTATGTGGCGCCAGTGTCCTATAATTAAGTGCAAAGACATTTTACGTAGAGAATTTAAATAATTCAGGTATGTTTAAAACACGTGCTGTGAGTGTTTAAAACAACTTCAAAAACGGTCTCTAGAATCCTTTGTTTTTACTTGGTAAAGCTAAATAATGCATTTTCTTTTTAAAGCTGGTTGATAAGAATATGTCAAACAAAAGCAGCCAAATTAAGGAAGGTTGATTATGTTTATGCAAACATATAGCAGCACTGAAGAATAATCTAAAGAGCACAGTTCAAGGGTCTATTTGCCCTCACGTCCCCGCTGTCTTACAGACATTTCTCTTGTAAATAACTCAGTGTACAAGATAAAAGAAAGTACTCGAGGAAAGTGTCACTAAATCTTACTACAACGCGACTTACTTGTCCATGATAATTTTAATGGACTTGCGTTGTAGTGGTAAGAAGTGTCAGTTAAGACTTCGCTCATTGATTGGTAAAGTAAAGTAAAGAAAAACTTTATTTACACAGGGTAGCCCATTCAGCTCTAAGGCTGGTCTCCATAGGGGCCCCGTATCTTAAAAAAAATTAATTTACATCAAGAATTTTCATGAACTATTACATTTAAAAGGCCTACTAAAAATCAAGAGAGAATGAGCATTCTGTCTTGTAAAAATACAATACTAGAATTTAAGAACTGCTTTAAAAGGCCTAAGAATACAATGCAAAATCACATTTAAAGCCTAACATAGTAATAAGATATCAAAGTTATTATAAAAAGAAATGTCTTGCTCGGCGGCAGAACGTTTGAATGTCTTCACTCTTCACAATGTTTAAAGGGAGTTTGTTAAAAATTTTTGCGCCAGTAAAAAGAAATGTCCTTTTCCCAAAATTTTGTCTAACGTTTGGTAGGGATAGCCTCATACTTTGCCTTGTGAAATAATTGTGAATGTTCTAGAATCTAGTAAAATATAATGAAAAACAACCAGGAACTAATGAGTGAAGACAGCAGTCTTAACTGGAGATTAATTGTCTTTGGTCTTTTTTTGGTTAAATAAACTTTGTATTACATACTAGAATGAGGGGTTCTGACCAATGTGTGTGTGGATTACTATTTTTTTTCTTTTCATTTTTCATTTTAAAGCAAATTAGCCTGACTGTTTTATATAAAATTGTTTGTTGACATTCTTTCTGTAGAACGTTCATCCTAATCAGCATCCGATAGTTTCAGTCCTACGTAACTATGTATCTCGCCTGATGCTGCTGAATTCAAATTTCTTCCCTTATTTTTAAGTCAGGTGAATTTTAACGGAACGTTGCACATGATTAACGCCATATTCACACGAATCCGGACATTTTGTTACCCGGATTCGCGTGGATGGGGTCTTAAACCACTCTGGAGAACGGTTTCAAAACAATGTGGTTTCCGTGTCCGGATTCACTGGTTTCGTGTGAACAGAGGGCCGATTCGTGTAAAAAAGTATGCGGTTTCAAAAATATCTGGATTCGTGTGGACGTGGCCTAAATCCGCTCATTCAACTGGACAATATGCCTTCTGAATAGCATGAGTGAGTTCTGGGCAGAGGCTACTTTTTCGCTGTGTGAGCTGGCTTGCGAAAAGTAGCCTCTGCAGGCAACTGATCTACTACGCATGACTCACGCAGTGCTCTAAACAGGTCAAGAAGAGGAAAATCCCGCTTTTTTAATTTATTCGTCCGGATTTCAGGACGGATTTGAACGGTTGTCGGCAGAGGCTACTTTTCGCTCGACAGCTCACACAGCGCAATTGTAGCCCCTGCTCGCAGGGCATAAGGTCTGTTAAGCTTGCTGTAAAACCTGCGCCTTTTCACAAGTTTGATTTGTCCTTAAAATGCATATTTCGGAGAAACTAATGTAGATATCTTCGGGTAGTTCATTCCATAGTTTCAACATCCACCTTGTGCTAATTATATTTGACTCCAAATTTTATGATTCAGAGATCATGTGCGCAAATTCAGCAAATGGTTCCAAATGCTAAATCTGGCTACTACTGGATTTACATTAAACGCAAGAGGGCGCAAGTGTACTTCGACATGGACAATTATGGTAGGGATGTTTTTTTAGGATTCAGTTATATGGTCTAAAGGAATGAAGGGATCAAATCCATGCAACGTTTCATTTATGAGAATGCTTAAATTCGTCTTTATTTAGTTACGCTCACTCGATTTGGCATGTTACGGGCGGTTCAGGGATGAATGAGTTGATGATTTGATCCATATGCTATGTGCAAAAATTCTGAACCTCACTCTGTCAAATGACAGACTGAATTATAAGCTTTTGAAGGATTTTATCTTTAGGCTAGAATACACCAAATATAAATACATTGAAGAACAGTACTGACTAGCTGTCCTTAAAATGACGTTATAATCTTACTGAGATTAACCTCTCACTGCCAAACGTGCCCAGAGTCAAATTCAACAAAATCCTAGCTTTAGTTTCGTCATTAAAAAATGCTGAAAACAAATAGACGACACTATAGTAGGGAGCGAATTATCCCTTTTTGCGGTGGAATAAATAAACGCCATAGCGTCATAGCTCTTTATCTCATGAATAAAAGGCTATTGCGTCATCGACGTTAATGCTTTCTTGCTCAAAGTAACGAGTATCCAAAGCATTTTTTCATGAGATCAAGACAAAAGGCTATGACATCATCGGTTTTAATTTATTCTACTGCAATCTAATAAGATTCCCCCAGAAAAAAGGATAATTTGGTCGTAACTATACGACTTAGTACAATGTCAAAGTACTGTCAAAGAGGTCAGTATCATTTGAATGGAACACCATAGGATTTTCTCCATAAACCCGAAAGTTAACCTTCGGATGGACACGCAAATTCATTCCCCCAACGTGGTACAAGGGGACAGGGGGTTGACGGAACCCCTCCCCAGAGTTTCTGATATGTTGCAGTATTTCGAAACGATTTTGCCCTAAGTGGAAAGCCTTTAATCTTCTCAACAAAAAAATTTTTCGAGTTCAAAACTCGACAAGTTTTCTTTATTTACCCATTCCTTTCGTCGGCTGAAACTTGGAAGATCGTTACAAAGAAGGTGTGTCAATTTTTCTACGCTAAAGCTGACATTTTAAGGGAGAAAAATCCGTATTTTGGAAAGCATCTTTTTGCAAAACAAGAACCGATTACGCGTGCAAGACTTCGTGGACAAGACTTTGCGACTGGCAAGAATTTCTCTTTTAATCAGTGCCATACAAAGAGCTTTGCGTTTTTTCTCGGGAAAGTTATTTTATAAAAGCAATAGAAAACTGTTTTCCTGTGTTTGCATAGCCTGATATAAACACCTGAGGCGTTGGGAGAATTCTCGACGGTTATGCAAACCCTGGGCTTCGTCTCGGGTTTGCATAACTGTCTTGAATTCTCCCAACCACTCTCGTGTTTATATCAGGCTATACAAACACGGGAAACGTTTTCTATTGCTTAAATATTATGTTCTTGTTAACGGTAATTTTCAGGTGGAGGATGGACGCTGGTTGTAAGCATAAGTTCCTCTAGTAGGGATCATCTTTTGAATAGAGAGGTCAACTGCTACAGTCCAACACGTTGTGTTGAGTTCACCAACTCCCAAATTCCTGGCAGAAAACTTTCAGACGAGAGCATTCACGAAATTTCCACGTACGAAGGTAAGGCAATCTGAATATTAAAATCCTTTTTGGAGCCTAACACTGAGAATAATTCTGACTGCAGTTTTTTATGCCACTTAGACAACTTCCAGGATCATAGTTTAGTTTTAATGCAGGGTGGCGTGGGAAATTTTCTTCTGCTTTACTATGCAGTTTACTGTACCTGCCTTGCCTAATAACGAGGTCCTTTTCTCGTTATTCTGCATAGTTACATTGAATAGAAATTTGTGTCTTTGCAGGTAGTATCACCCTGGTCAAGTATAACAATACAAAAACCAAAGTCGACCGGCTTAAACTTTGACCGGACGCTTTGTTGAGACGGAACCGTTCAAAATTTTCGCCGTGCTCAGACAGAACTGACGAAACAGTTTGCATGAATTATAACTTTTTCAGTTGTTCTATCATCTACCCATGCGTAGTAAATTCACAATGGCGCTCCCAATTGAGTAACCACGCAAAAAATGTGTCGTACGGTTGGCGTGGTTCCGTGTGAACAGTGAGAGATGACCAAAGGAAGGAAAAATGAGAGTCACACTGGAAACGAGATTAAACTAGAAAAACTACGTAAATTTTACTTGTCTCTTTAGGTACATTCAGGGTCGAAAAAGTGACAGCCGGTTTCACAGCATTTTATCAGGTAAACCCAGATCATTTTTAATGATAATTCTTGCTTAGAAGACATTCAAATTCTCAGTTAGATGTTTTTTACCGGCTAAATCTTAGTCAAATTTTTATGAAGCATAATGTTCTGCATGCATTGATTTATTCGAATCGCGCTGTTTCGACCGCCTACTGCCGGTCTCCATCAAAAGATGGTGTCGATTTGCTATGCAGGACTATTACTAGCACCTTTGTCGGTTACACGGGTATCAGTGCACTTCCATGGCTTAGGTGACGACGACGGCGACGTCAACGAGAACGGTAAAAAGGCTATTAGAGAGATTAAGAGTCACGTTTACGGCAAACAGCTGAAGTCGGATTCAAGTTGATGGTTTCTCAAAATAGAAAATAAGCAGATAAAAGCCGTCCAGAACAATTCGTATGGATAAAACTGGCGTGAAACTACTTATTTTTGAGCAGAGGTAATAAAAAGTAAACGACAATTATGGAGAAAACCTGGTCACGTAGTACAAATTCACGCTTTTTTGCACATTTCTTTGCCGTCACTGCACGACTACGACGTTAAAATGTCTAATTTCACGTTTTGTAAAGGACGTGAAAACAAGACAACGACTTCCCTTTTTCCCCTGAACTTGATACAGTCTCTTAGAATTCAACTCCAGGAAAAATTGCCATAAAAAAGGATTTAAACGGGATGGAATAAGCGTGATAAAGTATGAAGCAGCGCAACTTCACTTTTTAGGGGACGTTTTTCGTATCCCTTGCCGTCAACAACAACAACAACAACAACAACAAAACCTTTATTATAGTGTCTTAAATATTTAGCTTAGTAGCTAATTGGGGACACTGTAATAAAAATACTTAAGTGTTATTGTCAGAAAAAACCGGGCAATAGCAAAAGATCGACGTCGGCCGTTTACCTTCATGTTTTCACAGTATGAAAGCTATCTGAAAAGATGAACAACCATGGCATTTGGAGAAGTAGCCGTTCGATTTTCTTCGAGATATCACTATTTCGAGATTTTGGGACCTCCGGCGACCTAAAAAAGCACAAATTTTGGCTAACTTTGGGTGAAGTTAAAACATAGTTGGCCAAACTCCCAATAGTTCTTATATTTTTTCCATAACACCTATCGCTTCGTTAGTCGACTGGAATATGTTAAACTTCCTTTGCTTAAATACTCTATTTTTTACCTGGTGCTAAAAATCGCTCCTGAATCGTTAATGAGCGTCACCCAAATTTCAGTCATTTTCAGTTGACTGTTTTACCGAGATGCGGCAGTTTATTTCAAAAGTAAAATCATTTCTAGATGGCTTATTGTGCTGTTATCAAAATCCAGTTTGTTTAAAATTGGTATCTAGCAGCAAAATGGAGAAAATGGCATGCGAAAGTACAATAATAAACGTCAAGTATTAATATTTCCCGCCAAATTTTATAGCGCCACGTTTCGTTTTACTGTGATTGTGGTTCGTAAATGTCTTAAAATAGATTTTTACGACTTCAGAAGAGATAATTGAAAACTTTTATATCCCTAATTACAAGGAAAAACATCATAAATCATCGTATTGATAATAATCTTTTTAATAAGCAAGCGAAATCTTCAAAAAACGAAGCCCATTTTTCCCGCGAAAGTTTTAATTTATTTGTCACGCAGTACAGTAAAGCCGGACTGTATTCTCAGTTCTGAGCTTTTGACGTTGGCCAGAAAACAAACTTAAATCAAATAATACCAAGAAAATTCAGAATTATCCTAATTAAATTACTTCATAGAGACACCCTGTTTCCATCGAACGTTAGAGTTGTCACGAATTTAACGATCGGACGTCACGACAGGTTGAAAACAGATCAAAAGATGAATTGTTCATTCAGATCGGAGGAATCGCCATGTGGCTTGCGTGGAGTTGGTACGGTTATTCTGCCGTTACTTGCCTGCAAAAGAGATATTACCTTTCCTCTTCTTAGTCTGAAAATCAGCGTAAAACGTGGTAGAGGAAGCACCGAGGTCAGCGAAACAGAGTTAATTTTAAACCGTGCAGGTCTTTTGGGTGCTGTTAGCAATGACGAAATGCAGACCATGACAATCTGTCCCAAGCATAGGCTGGATCTTACGACTATCTGGCTGGGTCGTAAAGTCGAAATATGTTGTTATCCAGACCATGAAGGTACCAAGAGAGGACTTAAACTCCCTAGACGTGTAAACGCTGATATGTCAGCGGAAATCTTTGTTTTATTCAATGCTGTGGCTCCTATTGGCTCAGGTTAGTGTAATGCATTCATTTTTACAGATTTTCTTTTTTAGCTTAAAGTAGTTCCCACGATTTGCATCAAAAGGGTGGAACACGAACGCCCGTAAGCAAGTATTTGCGACAGATTGCAGTTTCCCATGACTGATGCTTTACTCCGAAAAAGGGTGGTTTCATTGTGTCCAAACCGCGTGTACCGAGTGATAAAGACACCTTATTGCCATCAAGCCAAAGGGGAAAATCATACTTAAGCCCCGCTAAAATATTTTTTCTTACCTTGAACTCTAATTTTACTGACAACATAAACTTTGCGTGCAAAGCTAATTGAAAGTACAAACAAACGTTTTGCTTCTAAGTTGTCGCAACACCTGTTGTAGTAATCTGTGCCAGAAGAGCCTTTTCATGACAACCAAAAAGTAAACTAAATTAGTATTGCCAGTCTCTTTTTCTTTTGCAACTGTTTTTGATGAAAATCCGAGGGTTCGTAAAAACGAAAGTGAACGTACGCAAAGGGCAAACATAATTAGATTACAGTTTCTCCACAGCTGACACTCTTTTTACTTATATATTCACAAATGAGGCATAACAGAAAAAAGGATATGAAAAAAAAAAAATACAGCAAGTTGTTCAACAGGATAAAAAAGTATTAACCCAGGATAGATTAGTATTGCAGTTTTACAGAAATTAACAAAAGGTTTATTTGTTATATACTGAAATATGGCCTTAGAAATGGTAATAAAATCAATTACCGTGAAGTAAACGCAAAAAAGTTACAACAGAGAAATAGTCTAGTCGGAAGGCAGGGTACCCATGCACCCCTAGGATATATTTTTCTAACTTACATTTTTGTAATCCTCAAGATGTCTTGAAAAAGAAATTCTATGTTCCCATCGCGAAACATTGTCCCAAGGCCTTTTTTTAGTGCTCTTTGTGGCGGCCATCTTGGCAGCCATCTTGGTTTTCAAATGAAAGTTAATTGCGGACAATTAGTTTATCAAAAGAGGCAAATAACTTTTATTTGCGTATACTTTTACTATAACGAATACCTTTAAAGTATATACGTCCTTTTTTTGACAAATTAAATAAATTTGAAGTAAACAGTGAAAACAAATTAAGTATGATTTACGCTCAGAATAAAGAACTTAACATTATATTCAACTCAGTTTTCTATGATTACCTCTATTAATTTTTCCATTTTAAAAAAGGGCAACCACAGATTAAAAAGAATCTTATAAAGTCCAGAATTGGATCAAAGCGAAAATACTATTAAATAAGTCACCCTATTGCCTTCTTAAATCAGACTATGCTTCTAGTACAACAATCCTAATGTGAAACAGGCCAAGCAGCACATGAACTATTAACTGGGCCACTGTTTAATTTACAACCTCATTTGAAATGGTTATCAAATATGCAGGGCATTTTTACGTATCGCTACTTCTTCTTTTCACTTTAACTTTTATTCTACACGCCTGTATATAAAACCGAAAAAAAATATATGTGAAAATTTGGATAGTTTGTACTTAAACTGCGATTTCATTTTGATACTAATTAAAAATGCGTTAAGTCATATTTTCATATTATTTTAAGAAAGATTTGAACTATGTTTTGCACTTTTAAGAGTCTAAATCGTTAAAAAAAAATCACTGTTAGAATTTTAAGAGATGAAACGCAAAGGGAATAACGCTAACAGACAAGACTTTCTTCACAAGCGGCCCGCTCTTCGCCGTATTTTACATCCGAGTGACATTCATCATGGCGATTTCACAGCACTCAGTAATGTCAAGGGATCTGTTACTGAGAAGCTTTCCTTGAATTACATGAAGTTCGTGACAGGCGAGTTATGGAACCTCATGATTAACCGAATCGCATGGAAGATGTTTGTTTGCAGATTCCAGAGAATCTCGAGGGTGCAAATTTAGAAGCAATCTGCTATCACCTGTTACCAAAGGTTTACTAAAAGCCAGGACAAGTTGAAGTCCAGTGTGACACCTAATACTGTAATTTTGAAGCCACAACAACAACACGTTCCCCTCGTAAATCATCATCCTCATCTGCTCCGCAGCTGTTTCCTCCAAATGCATTTTCTGTGAAAAGCTTGAACTGAAATCGTGTGGAAAAACAGAGCAATGCATCAAGTTCCCAGTGTTCAAGGACAAAGACGGAGCTCTAAAGGAGCCTACTGGGAAACAGATTGAGCCTCGAGCCCTCGAGCTTGGCAATAGTCATCTTCATCGCAACGGTACAAGGGGAAGATTTGTTTGCACGAGAGGCCCGGTTTCACCCGTCCTGTCGCAGTTTATTTAACTTGAGGTATTTAAATCATCTGCGTGATACAGCCCGAGCCACAAAAGACGTGAAAAAACCGAAACAGATCAGGGTCAGAAGGCATCTGCACATCTGAAGGCATTCACTTCCGTGCTTGATTTTATTTAAGATTCCGTTATTGAGCAGAGAAAAGTTGTGTTGCTTTCTTCTCTACGTGTTCTCTACGTCCAAGAGTTGGAGAAAAATGTGTCCATATGAAGTAACTTAATCAGGATAAGTCTTCATGTTGATGGCATTGTTTGATTTAAGTTTGTTTTCTGGCGACCGTCTGAAAACTGAGAATAAAGTCTGGCTTTACTCTATTGCGTGACAAATAAATTAAAACTTTCGCGGGAAAAATGGGCTTCGTGCTTTTGACATTTTTAGTTGTTTATTCAGGAGATTGCTATCAAAACGGAGATTTACAATGTTTATCCTTGTCAATAGTGATATAAAAGTTTTCAATTATCTTTTTAGTGAAGTCATGAAAGTATACTTTAAGATATCTACGAGCCACAATCACAGTAAAACGAAACGTGGCGCTATAAAATTTGGCGGGAAATATTAATACTTGACGCTTATTATTGTACCTTAGCATGCCATTTTTTCCAATTTGCTGCTAGATACCAATTTTAAACAAACTGGATTTTGATAACAGCACAATAAGCCATCTAGAAATGATTTTACTTTTGAAATAAACTGCCGCATCTCGGTAAAACAGTCAACTGAAAATGACTGAAATTTGGGTGACGCTCATTAACGATTCAGGAGCGATTTTTAGCACCAGGTAAAAAATAGAGTATTTAAGCAAAGGAAGTTTAACATATTCCAGTCGACTAAGGAAGCGATAGATGTTATGGATAAAATACAAGACCTTTTGGGAGTTTGACCAAGTATGTTTTAACTTCACCCAAATTTGGCCAAAATTTGTGCTTTTTGGGGTCGCCGGAGGTCCCAAAATCTCGAAATAGTGATATCTCGAAGAAAATCAAACGGCTACTTCTCCAAATGTCACGGTTGTTCATCTTTTCAGATAGCTTTCATACTGTGAAAACATGAAGGTAAACGGCCGACGTCGATCTTTTGCTATTGCCCGGTTTTTTCTGACAATAACACTTAAAAGGATAAAAATATCTATATATATTCATATGTAAAAGACTTGAAAAGCTAATAAAAATATACAAATTAAAATTTACTTTTAGTCAATTGCCTATGAATATTTATTAAAACCTATTTCCTCTGTAATTAAAAATCAAAATGAACATAAATGACAGTTTTCACAACTGTCCTCAAGCACGTTTGCCAAGTCTCTTCGCCTTATATTTCTAATAAAAAGTTTCAAGTTATCACTATATATCATCACTATATTTATTGTTGCTTAAGTTCCCCTATTTTTAGTGTTCTAAGTTCTCGGCCCTTGGATGAGCTTCGTAATCCCCTGAACCAATATCAACTGCCGTGTGACAAACAATAAACGAACCCTATCATGGTCGATACTGTTAATTTTATGTTTTATAGATTCCGGCAGGAGCAAGGTACTTTGATTCTGAATGCCGACATTTCAGGTAAAACATGATAAATTACTGCAACTCTCGTCTCACATTACATACTGAAGTAGGGGCACCATTCCTGTTATGGTTGGTTAACTGGATTTTTTCAGGAGTATACTTCCTCACTTTAAGCGTTGACTACGTCAGCATTAACAAAGATATCGTTGGTAAAAAGATTACTGGTACCGCAGCTGTACTATATAAAAATGAAAATTTGTTATGATCCAATATTGACATGGCAGTTGTCATAACAACGTAATGACGCCACTACGTTTTTTATGTGCCTTTGTATTTCCTGGTACTAGGATTTTTTTTAGAAATCGCTTTAGGAAGTTTGTACCTCCCTTAGTTGCCTCGTTTATGACAAAGTTTGAAAAGATTATGTGAGAACGTTTTGGAAATATTTTGAAACGGAGTTTTAAGTGTCGTAGAAATAGTGCATAAACATGCTATCGACATAATTGGCTAATATCTAAAGAAAATGATGTCTGGAAATGCAGTTTCATCTCATAGTGGTTTGATTCCATTGGAACTGTGTAAGAAAAGAGAGGGGGATTGCTTTGGCCGATTGTGAGAAAGAAGAATTTGATTAACCTACGTTGGGCTGCTTTCTTTACTATTGTTGTATGTAATTTGCTCCACAGTACATACACTAACCACTTTCGCATATACTTGTGTGGCTTGACACTCAGCTGGTAAAATTACTCAACATATCTCAGCGATACCATGAAGGGATGTCAAAAAGTACCATCATCGACTCTCAACATATGGATTTATAACTTTAGCTAGCACCCCACGCCGACGTCCGTAGGACGTCGTCACGCGTTCCTCCCCACGAATTACCCAAAGCTGGAAAATGGCTCCTGAGTGGCCCTTTTCTACGGACGAAAGTGAATGCTCTTTTCAGCAGACGTTCGTGTAGGAGGAACGCGCGAGGAAGCGTACGTGGGAGGCTATTACAACCTAGACATTCCATTGTGTTTTATAGCTGCCCTCGTATCATAGTGTCTCACGTGTACCCCTACCACTGGGAATCAAACTGCAAAGGGATACTGAATGGTTATCGTATACATCCCAGCGGCTGTCACAGAGGTAAGAAATCATACGTGTTATAAAAGGCCCTGCAAATGTAATGCTTCAATTTACTCCAAAACAGAACTTGCTATATTTATGAGAAACGATATCAGTATTGCTTATGATCTACCGCTGTCCAAACCTTCACACCGCCTTATTAGCGCAGGTCACTAACCGCAGCTTTCCTTAGCTGGTTCGTTGGATTTAAATCCCGGCCATACCACCAACCAAGACCTCAACCTCGTTCCCAGGGTTCTCTCCCTGGGAACGAGGTTGCCAAGACCTTCAAAAAAATGGTAAGATCCTGCTAGGTGTTTTTAAGAATGTTTCCCTTAGTCAAAATGATGGCGTCTTTGGGCTATGGCGTTAAGCCGTTGCTTATTTCTTCTTCGTTCTCATTTATTAATCTTAGAAGAGGATAAAGTTAACCACGGTAATGCAATTCAAAAACAGAGGTGCTTTTCCGAGGTTGTGTCGTGTAACCTCTGCCTCTACTCACTTTACACATCACACAAATCATGGGTTGGGCAGGCCTAGTAGCCTGCGCCGCACACACTCTAAACTCTCTGTATAGTACGAACTATACATTATGGTTTTTAAAATAAACGATGCTATTGAAAAAAGATGCGAGGGACGGCTACAACGCAGGCGACGACCCCGAGTTACCTCATATATGGACTGACTACCTCAGCCTGCGGCACAATCTATGCATAAATTGTATCAGATTCCCCTTCTAGACATGTAGAATCGTAAGCCAAAATAGGTTGTCAACACAACATTTTAAGCCTTTTCACTAATTATTTTTTCTTGTCTTCCAGTTTTCGACATGCATGACGATTCTGAATGTGGATCGCGTTGGGACTCGTCGAAATTCGGTACGCTTGTCCATATATAATTGTCCTTTTGTCTATAACAAAGGTTGCGAGGAAATGTTGAAACGGCACTATTCAAGCATACAAATAGTACATAGTTCCTCCAGCTCAAGCGGTAGAACTGATGTACCAGAATTAATCCGCCAGTCGTTAAAAAGTCTTTAAGTTAAAATGTAGTGAATCCAGAGTCTCTCTGGTGTTCCTTCGCTGAGTAGGCGAGTTCCTAGTAAGGTAAGTCACTCCACTGTCTCTGCCCTTTACTCCACCTCTCAATTTCTAACTCCTACGTTTGATCACACTCACTGTCGAGCGTACTTCTCTCTAATTTGTTATAACCCGCTAGCTTAAGCGCTAAAAGAAAAAAAATTACACTGAACGTTAAGAACGAAGCAGTTATGGTTAAGCTCAAAAATTCAAATAACAACAACAACAACAAAAAACGTTCATGTAATGGTCGGTGCAAATGTTTCACACCGAAACAGACCTTTTTGAATTGGCGGCCTATTTATTTATTCTTTCATCAGAGGCGGGCGGATCCAGTATTTCGTAGGAGGGGGTGCACAACGGGAACTACCATTTTAACGACCAAGGGGGGAGGGGGGGGGGGTGGAAGGGGGGTTTGTGCACCCCCTGCACCCTCCCCCTAGCCCCTAGATCCGCCCCTGCATAAATATATAACAAACCTCTCTGGTCTCTGTTAGGGTTAAATTCCGACAAGCGACGTCAGGCCTTGAAACGGCGACATAAGACAAATGAATTGGCGACAAGGAAAATCACAAAATATTAATACAATTATAGTAAAATACCGAAAGCAACATGGTCTCGTCTTCAATTCGCGAAACGACCGCTTTTGAAATTCAGACGAGGGACAAACGTACCCCCCCCCCCCACCCCCTACACTGTATAAAAGAATATATTGATAGGCCGCCATTATGAGTGAGGTTTCTTAGTATTAATGCGGAAAATACACAATTGAGGTTGTTATGTCATGAGGTTTTTATGCTATGCAAGTAGAAAAGCTGCACCTTTTTGTTATATTTAATATCAGCTTTTGCAATGTGCTCTTCATTTCAGCGACAAATCGAGTGATGTACGCTTACGCTTGCGGTAGCAGTTACGGAATAGCACACAACGCGGCAGGATTCCTGTTTGTCAAATAAAGGAGAGATGGAAGAAATTGAGAATCAACAATGTTAATTTCAATACCGTAAACTTGCACATATAAACTCCTACCACTTATCAGCCCTTCCCAATAGCCCTTTTACCTGTTATGTAACAAAAAAGGCAGGGATCACCTACCCCTCCCCTAACCCGACATTTTGCCCCAAGTGAGAAGTAAGTGTTAATGTTGACTTAGGGGAGGGGTAGGTGGGCAGTTTCCCAGAGACATAAATTGATCCAAAAGTACATCCGTTTATAAGCCCCCATCTAACTTGTATTAAAATTGAATTCGATTTTTTACAATGTTTTGAATCTTAAAAAAGCGAGTAAATTATAAAAGTATTTTGATCAGCACTGCTATGTAAGCGCTATGAATAATTAGCATTAATAGCGCTATATAAATGAATTTTATTATTATTATTATTATTATGTAGCTTGTTCTGGATGCTTTTTTAGTCCAGTTATCTAAAACCCTCCTAAAATGCCTTACGTTGTTTAAGCCCAGAGCTTAAAAGCGGAAGTTTACGATATTATACTACTACACGAGAAATTTCTGTAATTTGATTGGCTTAGAGCAGTGGAATTTCAGCTTAATTTGAAATACCTAGATATGGAAATTACAAACCTTTTGCGGGTAGTAGTATAAACAAATAATAACCGCGGCAGGATTAGCTCAGTCGGTAGAGCGCTTGACTGCAGAGCGGGAGGTCGCGGGTTCGATTCCCGCGGCCGGACCAATACTCAGGGTCTTAAAAATAACTGAGAAATGAAGGTACTTCCTTTGCCCTGGTGGCGGCTGGACCTTCGCGTGGCTCTGATGACCACGTAAAATGGCGGTCCCGTCTCCATTAGGAGACGTAAAATATAGTGTCCCAATTAGCACTTTCGTGCTAAATACATTGACACTCAGATAAAGTGCTTTTTTTTAACATGATTTGTACGTGATATTTGGTATAAATACTACTCGTGATATTCTAAAATTGTCTCAAATTTCACTCGCTTAACGGCTCGTGAAATTACGTATAACAATTTCGATTTTCAATTTTTCACTCGTGGTATTTATGCCTAATATCACTACAAATCATGCAATTACCTATACTAATATTTCAATTAACATCGACACACAATTTCAGCATCATATGAATATCATTGTAAGTGACGGGGGCCTATAGTCCATCCTAGAAGACCGATTTTGGCTCCTTGTGGTACCCAGTTGGTTTAAGTGAAGGAGTCTCGTAAGCTGGTTCAAACTTTTGATTCTGTGGACAAAATCTTATACACTGGACTAAAAAATGGATTTGCTCAAATTTGCTCCTTGCAAATACGTCCCAAATTTGTAAAAACTGAGGAGTAAATCTGGGGCAAAGATAGTAAATACCACATTTGCAGACCAAAAAACAGGGGATTCAAATAACTAGGCAAATATGGCCTTTACGATCTTTGCCTCAGATTTACTCCTCACTTTTTACAATTTTGCGACATATTTGCAAGGAGCATTTTGTGCAAAATAGTTTTATCGTCCAGTGACAGTGTGAACATTCAACTGAAGCCTCCTTGGCTGTACTTTCACATGGACAGTCTGTTTCTCAGAATTTTCTAAAATGAATTCTAGAAGGAAGTTGTTGGGTTTTGACTTACGGCCACCTTTGCTAGTGTGATTTAAGGTTCAGATTGATGTGAATGGCTTAGCGGGAAATAAAAACACGCTGACTGACTGTAAAATTGATGACAATTCAAATACCGCAAAAGGCTTGGTAAAGCGCAACATAAAGATTTTTGAATTTCGGGCTGAATACCAACCTCGTGTCCCCGAGGCTTTTTCCTTATAAGAGCGTCTCTGGTGAATGCCGTCAAACGGCATAAAATTTAACCGTGATCAACCGTCAACAATGAAGATTAATATTAACCGTAAAAAAGATTTCAGGTATTTCAAATCTCACTATTTCAGATGAGTTTCATGGGATTCTTGCTCCCGAAGAATCTCGAAACTGGAAAAACGAGTTCACCTATTCTTGAAAACACTCCTTCGAGATATTACGAGACCATCAACTTATATTAATCTATACAGAAGTTAACATGTACTTGAACTGTTTGGACTGTTTGAAGTTTCCACTTAAATAACCGTTAACCGTCAAAAGCTCTTAAATTTAGGGAAAAAATTACCGTCAACCGTCAATTAGCTATCACCCCATAGAGACCGTCTTATAAAAGGAAGACTTGGGAACGTGGTTTGCACACACACCAAACCTTAAACATGTTTAAAGTTGTTTAGTCAAACACGGTTCAAATTTGTTTTCTTAAAGCTGCTTAGTGTACTTTTATTGATGACAAATTTAGGCCACTAGAGAGGAGAAGTGTGACATCAGGTAACTATGGAAGCAAAATTTCTGGATCACCAGTGAACGACAACAGAACGACGACGGCGATGGCAACGAGTACGGCAAAAAAAAACAACAAAAAAACAAGAGGTTTATATAAGCAAAACAACTACTTCGCACTTGCATCACGCTTTTTTGTACATTTCTTAGCCGTCGATGCGCGACTCCGACATGAAACTTTCTAATACACGCCTACTTTATAAAGTAGCTGAACACAACCCAAAAACTTTCTTTTCATTTTTTTGTAAAATAGATACCCCGAAAATTTTGCCTCCATTTGACAAATTAAATGAAATTGACTAAGATCGATGAAGTTTGTAACAGTGTCATGATTCACTTGTTGAGTGATGATTTTGCTTTGTTTTCAGCCAGAAATTTTGCTACCGTGGCAACGTGACGTAACGAATTCTCCTCTCCATTAAGCAACGTGTTAATTTAAAAGTTTGAATTAAGATATGATCCTCGCAGTGGTAATGGCAATTTAAACAATTGCGCCTTGGGTTGAAATCCCGTTGAAGTCCTGAAATTTTTTCGGGTTAATTACCAATGCAACGATCGTATGTTCACTTAAATTTGTATTTCCGCAGTTCACATCTTCTTCATGTTAAAGTTCATTTGAATTTTATGTAAAAAGCTGTGTTCTAGTAATTGTCCATAACTATTTTTCATTTTTTTAAACTTGGTTTAATTAAACACGACATATTTAGTTGGTGTGAATGGAGCATTAGTTTACTCAGTACAAAATGGCTGAATACGAATATTTATCAAAACAATTGGCTGTAAACTTGGCATCGGCTTCATGCAGCTCTGTCCCAGTTCATTATTTATCTCTGGAAGATAAATAAAAAGGGATGTTACTAAAACGGGGAACGGGGAGCGGGGAACGGGGAACGGGGAACGGAAGTCTGGGAACGAGTTGTCAGCGGAAACCTCCATAAAAATCCAATATGGCCGATGATCGATGATAGAGAACCGTCGAAACAAACTTAACCGATAACGGCGTTACTTTACTTGAACTATATGCTCATGAGGTGCTTGAAATAATACGGAGGTAATAACTTCATGACGTTTTTCACCTTTTTGCGTTTTACTAAACAATTATCCGTAGGAAACAAAATGTGCTCCAACAGCAGTTGAAAAAAGCCAATCGGGACAAAAACTCTCAAAGCACATGTACAGCCATATTTGGAACTCAAGCGAATCTATACTGAGTCTAGCCCACAAAGCAATTAACTACTTTTCCATGATAGATAACATACATCGAAGTAGTCAAGTAGCTTGTGTGCAAACTTCTTCTGTTTCCTTTGATAGAGATGACTGCTTTGAAAAATGTTATTGACCACGTCATCACATAATTAGTAAGACTACTTTAACAATCTGGTTCTGCTTTTAATATTATTAGATCTACTACACTGCAAGCATTCATGATATTGAAGTGTTTCACTGATCCATGAAAATAAAATAATATCATTTTATTATTTTGT